TCCACCTGCCTAAAATCCACCTGCCTAAAATCCACCTGCCTAAAATCCACCTGCCTAAAATCCACCTACCAAAAATCCACCTGCCTAAAATCCACCTACCCTAAATTCACCTCCTATTCGTAAGAACGAACTAGTTTAATCACCTCGCGTAACTACAAAGGACAAAAGCACTATTATCGTATTATTGCTTGAGCACGGAAGACGAAAGGCCGAGGATGTAGGGTACATTAGTCGATATCTCAAGTTTTCGAACCTTGAAGAAGAGTGCCCTCTTGATTTGGGCAAAAATATCATTAAACATCAACTGATACTGAATGACTGTAATTTATTTGTTCGTCGCGTAGCACTTTACTATGGAAACCTGCGTAGTAGGTTATGGTGGGAGAGAGAAAGATGCGTCTAAGATGCAAACATGAACTTCCTGTTTGTACATTCTACAATGCCCTGCGTCCATTTCTACATCAAGTGTTGCTCTCGCCACTCATTTTGCAGCAACCTATTTCTTAGCCGTAGCAAATAAACCTCACTATCGAAAAGCTCATCCAGCTACACCTAAAATGTGCCCAAGAAGCTTCTAGATTTATCCGAATCCCGGATGCGCTTCCCTGATTTAGCCCTTCGGAACTCCGTCCGTTTTCTTGCCTCTTATAATCGTCCCTATCGCTCGTCTAGTTTATTGTTCGGTTCTCGTCCAGACATGAGATCTTGATAGAAATTTCGATTTCCGCTTCTCTGGTTACCCCTTGGCAATGCCAATTACTTTATCCATACTAGAGCGGATCAATTCTTCAAGGTCACGATGAGAACGCCTGGCAAGGTCTTGCTGATATCCTCTTCCGTCATTACAGGGGTATCAGCCCCACAGCAAAGCGGCTCTGCTATAGCTGTGAGAATAGAAAGATATCTTAAGGACCTGTTCATGCTCGTGATGGTATCATTACAAGTCGGCTGCGTGAGTTTTTGCTCGCTTGAATCTGCTGCGATTGCCCATGGCTGCACGAAGGACAGCTCGGTCTAACATGGTGCTGTTTTACCCTTGGAGCATACAGACTTCATCCTTAACCTCTTTGCTCTGTACTTTTGCGTGTTGATGCTCCTCCTTCAGCTCGTTCAATCCATTTTGATTCTTGTTGTAGACCTGTCGTGTTGATCATGAGTTTCTTCAGCTGTTTACTCACACAAGCAGTCCTCCATGGTCTTTACGGGATCGCCATCGCTGTCCTGGACATGCTGCAATTGTAACAGGAGATCCTCGGTGCGGATTGCTCGCCGTACGCATCGCAGAGCCTGAGTGTAGACAACCTTGAGGTCGGTGCTGGGTGATGCTTGCTTCGAGGTGTGCTGGCCAATCTTGTGGGTGACCGTATTGCTGGCTGCAGCTGGTGCTCAGGGCACGTTTTCTCTAAGGGATAAGCACTTGCTCTTAAAACTTTATCTCCATGACCCAAGTGTGAATTAGTGACACTCCGTTCTATCTCTACAACCGGTGAGCTAGAGCCCTTCAAACACTTGCTTTTCTTTGTTCGGTCGTATATACAAGAAACCAACATACAGGATCTATTTCTACGGGCGCCCCTTGGTAGTACGACATACAACGTACACAAGTTCAAACATGATGTGACAAAGGTTTTGGAGTTCCAGCTGAAGTTAATATGTTTACCCCAAGGTGCGGCAGTATCCAGCGAGAAATTTAGTTCACGATATGACATTGGCTAGCAGCTGAGCGCAATAACACGAGTCCTGGGCTAGATGCGCGTCATTTGTTGTCGGAAGTCCATGTTTTACTTCATAATTCAATCCGATTAATGAGAAACCCTCTGAAACGACAGAGTTCTTTATCCATTGTCTCTCGAGCGTAACTAATGTTGAGAGAGCACCTTCAGAAGCCTTTGGAGTAGGACAACATTTAATTTTCCGAGTTCCGATATATGTTTGTCAGTAAAATAGAATAGTTACTTTCATGGAGGCCACTAAGAGGTGATATACAGGAGGTTTAATCTCTCATCGATGGCGTCCTCGGTAGACTTCTTGCAAGAGACAGCGCCTAAATAGACTCTGATCCCAGCATGAATCGTTCTACATGATGATCCTCTTAGTACATTCTATTATGCGTAGAGCTCGGAGCACATGGCTTTGGCAATATGCGCAATTTTAAGCAACTAGTTAAATATGGTCCTGTCATTCTGGGAGGATTAGTCATCTACAATATAAAGGATATCCACCTCACCGAACATGTGGAGGATGCATGAATGTCGGCAAGACTTGGCCCCACTGATGTTGTGCTTCACCCTCTAACATTATTGCCAGTACAAATGAGGATGGCAGAAGTAATCAGATTGCCAGATCAGAAGAACATCTTTGAGGTTGTTTTAGTAATAGGGAATGGACCGTTCAACTGGGCCTGTTTGTAACTAGATGGAGAATTTCCATCTTTTAGGTGGATGTTGACCATCAAAGGTCCGTGATGTTCGAGCCTAGTGTAAAATATCTCTCCTCTACTGACTCCCGCTAGCAATAACTTCTCGTTGGATTAGGAGGTCAGAATCGCTAGGCTTCAGAACAGGTACTAACAAAGAAATGCTGTAAGCATTAGTGGACCGCTCTAGATATTGTCTAGATTGTGCGTACCTTTTAAGACAGTAATACACCTTAAATAGAGTCTATCCCGGACAAGCATTCTGAAACCTCTGAAAACCCAAAGGAATCCCACTCCAATAGGTCTACTGCTGGTTGCTGTACATCATGACGACAATACTCTTTATACCCGAATGACTCGTCTACCCATGAAAGGGGTGCTATTTGTAACGACGACTGGTACGGATATAGCTGTTGTGAGTCTCTCAGGGCCTCAATGCTCTGGAGTAACTCCTTGACGTGAAATTGAAGGCGCTTGATTTCTCTCGTTCTTTCGGACCAGGCTTGGTATAACGCTACGTATGATCGCTGAAGTTGTACCCATTTAGTTTCGAGGACCTCGGTCTTAACTTTTTTACGAGCCTGATAGGCTTTTTGGGCCAGACGATTCTTCTCTCGCTTAAGCTAAAAGTCAATCATTATATGCTTGCTTGAAAGTAGATTTCAAATTAAGTATATTTCCTGTACCTTTGTAGTCTCAACTAAGAGAGATGAATTGGTCCCATTAGATAGAATCTCGCCATCTTCTTCAAACTGGGCCATAATAAAAATGTGTCAGGTTCAGAACCTCTCGCTTAATATTGACGGGTAGGTCGGTATTGTGCGTGGGCAGTTCTTGAGGAAATATCACGCATCTGTCGATTCGTGTGGAATACAAACAACATATCTGAAGGGTCGGGCTTGATCAGTTTATCAACACTGGTCTCGTAAATTGTTTCAGAGCACAAGAAGATGTAAGTCACTAGTTCCCAAAGGTAGACATCACCAGTATATGCTCGACCTTAGAAGCTTGACTTCTACGAGCTGTATTTCATGATGACACAACAGTAATATCTTGCGCCAGATCCCTCGATTTATGGTCAGCTACAGTTCATTCGCTGTTATGGAGTCATCGACAAATATACATTCAAGATTCGAACGTATAGCAAAGCGAAGATGTACTATCAGGATTCGGTATAGTATACAGTATATTGGAGATGTATATAGAAGCACTGGAAGCCTTGATATCAGGTAAGAGAACATGTGGCTTGGCGCCCTACTTCGAATCATTACTGCAATCCAAAGTCCACCTGCCAAAAGTAGCTCCTTGCATGAGATCGGGAGCATCGGACATCACGTGTTGATAAGAACTCACTCGGTTAATGGTGGCCTCCTCCACCGTAGTTTAACCCCTCACCATTTACACCCGTTCGTTGCAAGACCCACGTCGAGACAGATCGGCGGTTATTCTTACGTCAGTGTTCGAAGATCGCCTGCGGCTACAGGGAGGACGGAAGTATTCCCCTGACGCTTCTGCGTAACAGGCTCTCAACCAGCTGCTAGGGCCCCTTTCGAACGAAATCACGATGCCAGACCCGAGCGAAATTGATCCCCCGGAACCTGACAGCGGCGAGCCCCAGGTGAAATTGCGATTTATTACCGCACGTCCAGACCTCGAGCCAGCGAGACGTGAATCTAGAGCAGCCATCAACGCACATGCCTCGCAGGCCTCATGGGCCAGGATCAGAGAAAGGCTCAGGCAAGGGACGGGTCCCCAGACGAGCCAAAAAAAGCCGGTACACAACAAAGAGCAACGTCGTGCACGATTCCCCGATGACCGTGCCAGCAGCGAATCCGAACTACGTTCATCGAATGGTGACGGTGGCAAGAGGCCAGGAGCTGGTTTTGTAGACTCAGAAGAAGAACTGCCTTTCCGAACCGCGGGGACCGCTATTTTTGAATCTGCCCGCGTTTCCAGTCTCGAGTTTTCGGATGTGGACCCTTTTACTACATACCCCTCGCGGCTGGCAAAGGAGGTCGCTATGCCAATCGTTAGTGAAGGTGAGCTAGGAAAGCCTGCCAAGGGATCGGCGTTTTCATGTACTGATTTTAGGATACTTTCATTAGTTAACCGCTTCCTCCAAATTATACTTCTACCGAACCCACACCGACAGGAGCAAAGCATTAAACAGCAATGGATATACCGATACATGAATGATGACGTTCTGTTTCATATGCTTTGTTTCTCCTATTTGGCGAGAGCGTCCACCACAAAGCACGGTCTAAACCCAATCAATCAGAGAGCGTATGGGTATTGCTACTCAGAGCTTGTCCGAGGACTAAATAGACGTTTAAACAATTTGGAAACGCGATACTCCGACGAGATACTTTTTGCGGTCCAGACGTTGGCATTCCATGGACGTGCTGTCGAGGACGACACCGATAAACCTCAATCACCTTCACAGGGACCCCTAAATTCAATGCAGCTGCTGGATATCTATGCGGGACGTTTAGATGCAGTTGATGTCCATCTAAAGGCCTTGTCGAAAATAGTGTCTATGAAAGGAGGTTTGAGCGAGATTAAATTCCCTGGTCTTGCAGCAATGTTAAGCTAGTAAGGAGACCTCACAAATATCATTAACACTCCAACTCTTTCATGTCACTTCACTAATCGGGTCCGTATAGTGGGGACTTACTTCTTGCTTCTCGATACCTCCGAAAGCCTGTCTACCCATTCATCCCTCTACAAATCTCACCTCAACATGTATTAGACGCTGTACGCAGGGATGTGCATCCGCTAGGTCAGCTAGGTACGGGGTTTCGAGCCCTTTACGACCTTCTTCCCTCCGATGTCGCACGACCACTCTTTCTTACTCTACACAACCTGTCAACATATTCGCTCGCAGTCGATGATTATATAATGGGCCGATCACAAGCGCAGGATTTAGGCGCTCTAGCTGACCAGCGAAACTTCGTCCAGCACAATCTGCTGTCAAGGAGCCTTGGGCCGGACGGTGATGTTCATAGTCCCAAAGAAGACGCAATTGTTCTACAACAAGCATGTTGGGCAGCTGCCGTCATCTACAGCCTTATTGCTGTATTCCCTGTTCCTCACCGCAGAGCTCCCTTCGCGAAGCTAGCATACCAGCTTAAGCACAGCCTTGTCTACACTAACAATCTTCTCACAAGTAGATGGCACGACTCTTCTTCACTTTTATTGTGGATGATTTTTATGGGTGCGCTAGCTTCTACAGCGAATGATGAAGGAGGAGGAGAACAGGAAGGGTGCAAAGAATGGTATATCAATGTTCTCGAACGATTCGTGCATAGGATGCAAATCGCAAGCTGGGGGGCTCTGAAGGACCAGTTATTGAATTTTCTATGGTTTCCCAGCACAAGTGACGCTGATGGACAACAGCTCTGGACGGAGATCAATACTTCAAATCCGTTCATTTGAATGAGGGCGAACTTGCCGCAGGGGTACTGCTTCCGGCGATTAACATTGTTGGCCCCGCCTTTCAGGGATCGCCATGCTTAAAAGTGAAAATTATCTTTGTCCTAGGGTGACATCTTTTGGAGAGAACAAAATGGACAATGCCATGCCAAATTAAGTCAACGAATCAGAGCGATAATAATTAGCTCTAGGAGAAGATTAGGCCATCAATCAGTGCAGCACAAGGCGGCATTGACAGCTCAATCTTCGCAGCCTCGCCATGGCAGCAGCACCGCGCTTTAGACAGCTGGCAGGCAACGAGCCTGCGCTATGTGGAGGGAGCGCTTTCGCCCGCGTGATATTCCGATGATCAATTTTACTATGATCAACTGAACAGCCAGGTTACTGTTTTAGTAGTATAGTTCTTGCATTTATGAGTCACTCACGTAACCGTGGTTGCTAGCTTATGCACTTCATCCATTGGGAGGGCAGAACGGGAAAAACTAGATGTAGCTGGTCACCTTCTGTTGGTCGATCAAGGCCCAATGCAGCTCAAGGAATATAGCGTCAAATCAGGGCTTTCCTTTTCTGAATATGCATTTCGGCTCAGGATGCTGCCCTGCAACCACACGTGGCTCACATTAACTTTCATTGGGTGTGCTACTGCCAAGCCTCTCTTGCACGACAAGAGAGCGAAGAGGGAAAGAAGAGTATGCTTGGTATCGGCTCATATGCTAGTACAAGGCAGCTAGCTATGATACTCACCGGTCCCAGGAGAGATGGACATTATATCCTGTCCCAGGTTTGTTAACTCAAAGTGATTCAGTCCGTGATAACTGGCGATTCGCTGCTATGGCTTAAAGACCCTGCGTAGTCTTGGCTGTAGGTGCTTGTGGATACGCGATGACAATTTACAAAACGTTCGGATAGGGATGGAGCGAACGTAGCCGCGAATGCGAAGTTGCAACATGTTGCCCAGGATTTTAGGGTGCCAACCCGATCGGTACTTATATGGCTTCCATTGAGCCTCCAGAAACTTCTCCGGGCTCCATGGAACAAAAGGAAAAATTAAGTTGAACTGTCTTCGAATATAGAAAGCGATCATATCTGGTTTCATTGAAAGGTGAGAGTTGGATTGTTATCAATTATTTATATTATCCAAGAAAAAAGGTCTCCACTTCCGCCTATGGTATTATTACTCGCCTGTTTCAACTCACCCCTAGCCTTTATTGTCTGGGACTGTCGTATTGATCGTCTTTACTTCGACCTTCTTCTCTACTTCGTCCTTAAGAGTACCATCAGAATGAATAAAGAGTGTGAGTTCAGCAACCTCTCCCAGCTTGACCTCAAGACCCGTTGCCTCGTGTCGAGCCCCTGCGAGTCATGTTTCAAGCCAGACGTAAATAGAGCTTGGAGTTGAGGTATGACCATCATCAGCAGGAGCTGGGAGTGTACCAAACCCTGGGAACCATGTTTGAGTCTGGTGAATTACTGTTTTGTCAGTTGACGACAAATCCGCTCCATCTGCCCTTTGCAGAAGAGTGAACGCTACAGTTTTCTTGTTCGTAACACCAAAGACATTATCCGTCACGAACTCATCGTCATCGGATTTAGCCTTTGACTGCGCTGCTTCGCCGGCGTTGGGAACACTGTAGATCTGCCCAAGGCTGATATCGCGCTCTTCAAGCAATTCTAGTGTACTCATAAAATGAATTAGCAATCTTTGGACCTTTGAAACTCGGGACCTTGGGTGCTCGAGATTTGTGAGCTTCTCGTGTGCGGCTCGGGACGCTATGTAGCTTACCTGACTCCTTTGTATTGCCTGGCAATTTATAACCGATCGAGTACACCCAGCCCTTACCAGCAGTGAGGGCCAATGTTACGATCGTGTTCTCGGCCAACGCTATAGAAGGGAATATCAGTGACCAAAGGATGAAATTTGTCCTGTTTCAATTAACCTTTGTCTGATCCGTTCTCATCCCCTGGCTTGAAATCCCATTTGATTGTATTCTCTGCTGGTTCGAAATTTTTTGTCCCACGCGCAGGAGGTTTTCCGACACGGAGTTTGTATGGTGCATCATTCAGAATTGCGAGTGTAGCTGGGTCATTGATGCTAATCGTAATCGTATAATCTAAACGAGGCATTTTTTGTAACTGATGTTACCAAGGAATGACTAGGTATTTAGAGCTGGCTTGAAGTAGGGGATAGAGGGGTTCTTAATACACTGCAAGAAAAAGAGAGAGTATCCTTGAACAAAATACTGGGAATCCTTTTCGACAAGATCACATCAATATGTACCATGAGAACGCCATCCACCAGGCTATGGACCGATATAATTATCGATTAAGGGTTTGTAACCTTGAAGGCGGTTATATTCCATGGCACTTTTCTCAACTCAGATCCGACACTTGCGAAGGTTAGACCAATTAGCACACCGTTCGACTTTGAGCTGGAAATTGGTGCATAGCTTCGTGCCTAAGAACCAACGATTCGAGACCGCATTTGTCGGGGGAAGTGACGATCTTGACCCAAATGGTAAAAATGGACCACTCCTTTTACACTGAAAACGATTATTTCAGGTAGCCACATAAGGAATCCCCGCTCGATCTTCCGATTTAAGCTTACGAACCGAACCTTCAACAACTCTATCCCGCCCTAATAATTCGAAGTAAGCCAGAGGCGACAGTCTAGGTTGGTGAAGAAGCTAGTAGGCGCCAGCTGACTTCGCAGTAGACTTCAATTCAAGTTGGATTCTGGCCACCCATAGAAACTAAAGCAAGTCAAATTATCGTGACGTAGGACTTTCTGTATTGACCGCTTAACACTTTTAAGCCCCTGGCCGATGTCCGCATAACTGTCTTCTCGAATCATTTTCCCACTCAGCAAAAAGCAAAATGTCATGCTCGATGACCTCGAGCGGAACAGACATCGTATACACCCTTACTATTAATATCGAGAACTCCAAGGCGGCGAATATCCTTAATAACAATGCCTATAATATCTGTGTGAGCTATCCCGAAAATGACGGAGAATTCAATCTAACGACGATAGAAGGAAAACCACCGAGTGAGTATATGACGAAAAGGTGTCTAGCTTAGAAATTAACGAATTTCAACAGACTTCGACTCTTCAAGACCGGTCAAGATGACCTTTGCCGGAAAGGATGCAGCTGCCGTCGAATGCTCAATTGGTTATACAAAAGAGTTCAATCCAAGTAAGTCTTGATTATTTTGGCCAAGGGTGCCGTCTGTCATGCGAAAAGATTATCATATATCTTACACTCTGTCAACAGATTCGGTGCATTCGGTGCCCCTTCAGAGGAAGGAATTGAAGCTTGGACAAGTCTACCGCCTCGATAGCTGCGGGGTTGCCACAATTGAAGACGCAAGTTGGGTACCTTCCGATGCTCTGGGATTCGAGAACTTGATTGGAGTTTCGCCTATAATTCTCCGAAGCACAGCAGACGATCCTGGACCTACACCCACACACTACCGGACACTTCCAGTATGGGTCCCTGGTAGAGGCCTAATGGTACCTCCAACTCCCTCAGTGGTAATCAAAGTTTGGTTGAAAAGTAACTCATTTGCCGAAGATGAAGACGATATGGAAACTCGTGACGTTTCCGAGCCATTTTGTGTGAAATTCAGAAAAGGCAAGCCCACTGCGATCCTTCTTTTCAAAGAGAATGGCACCTTCAGTCTCAACCCTCTCAGGGTCAATGCCTAGGATTTGACGTGGAAAGGTTCGAGCCGCTTGTCACAGGAATCCACGTCGAACCCAACTGGTGGCACTCTGTTTAATCGCTTCATAGAGGCTCGTCCTGTACCTCCAGGCATATCCCATGAGTCGTCGGGTGGTCACGTTTTAGGTCTTGGCAGAGCCAAACAAAACGCGTTTTATGCAACCAACTTAGTAAAGCCAACTAAAGATGACTCAACCTACGCGTTCTGGTAGGATTCCTACCAAAAAAATACCATGGGAGGAACGGCAAATTCTTCCTCTAGCTGCTGCTACAAAAAAAGTAAAAAAAAGGAGGTCCAAGTGCTCGAAACTCGCGCCGCAAGTCCACATGCACCTCCAGTGATATATGAATTGGCCAATAAACCTCACGCGCCATTTACTCCACCAATTCGTGTCGCAAATGAATCATTTAAAGTGCTTATTAAAGCTCGAGACCCACTGAGTCTATTCATGTACTTTTTTGGTGGGTTTGAAGCACTTTCCGTGGTGTGCGGCGCGATAAACGTGGATGCGGAAAAACCACGGCCCGCCGCTAAATCCGATGAAACTCCTCGACCTTGGATTACGCTTCGACCTATTGAGCTCCTCCACTGGCTCGGAGGGTTAATTTATATGGCAAATCACACTGAACTGAACCGAAAGGCCTATTAGGAGCGCTCAGAGCTCGGAAATACGCATCGAATTGGTCAAATAATGAGCGAGACTCGATGGGATCAAATTCATCGATTTCTGACCTTTAACCCTTAACCACGCCACCAAAATGAGGCCCCCTTTAATCGCGTTGAACCAATCGCTAATTCGATCCGTCGCAACTGCCAAAATGCGGTTAAAGCGTCAACTTGGATCGCTATTGACGAGGCAATGGCTGGTTATGCTGGACGCACCCAAGACTCGGTGAATCTTCCATCAAAGCCCACGCCAAAAGGCTACAAGGTTTGGGTCCTTGCATTACAGTAGGGTTACGTATACTCCTGGCGATGGCACTCACGCGTTACGGGACCGGAAGGTATTGGTAAAGGGTCACGAGTGGTGTATCAACCAGTGCTAATGGTGCTAGTTACACTTGCGGCGACATATCTCGTGGTTCAGGACCTTTGTTAGGAACTGCAAACCAATGAAATAGGCGTAAAACGCCTAGTATTCCTTGATAATTTATTCCTAACACTGGCACTAGCGTATACGCTTTTGGTTATTGGTGTAGGAGTAATGGGCACAACACGCAAAAATCACAAGGATTTCCCTCAACGATTTATCGAGGCAAAGCTCTCTGATACTCAGTTTTCTTACGGATCTTGCGCTATAGAGGTCATTGGACTTGCGTTATGCTTCCTGTGGCAGGATAACGCCGCAGTAATAGGTATTTCGACGGCTCTCACCATCCAGGAAGTCCCTGAGGACTACATCGTCAAGCGCCGCAAGAGGCCGTACAACAACACCGTTGCGCGCGGCGTTTTTGGCAATGAGCCTACTAAAGAGTTGCCAATCCCACGCGCAATTGACTGGTATAACAGGAATCATAACCTGGTTGATGTGGCGGATCAATTACGCGCCAGTTTTATAGTCCAGCGATAGGGGGAAAGGAGGACTTGGAGACCACTCGCTTATTGGCTTTTTGACACTTGCCTAACTAATTCCTACCTAATCTGGAGGTCCTACTATGATCCTCATGCATTGTTAGCCCGTGATTCCCACAGGGTCTTTCGTGAGGAGTTGATATCGCAACTATTCGCCCTGAGGGACCCTTCTCCGTCTCCACCGCCTACACCCGCCAAAACGCGTTACTACTCAAATCATACATCAATCGAGATGCCAAAACGAGGACATTGCGCCTGGCGAAGTCCAAATGGCGATAACTGTGAGAGTGGCGTGGCAATTACACGTGGAAAAAGCCGCAAATCATTAATGGAGGTCTCCGGTAACGCCCGACGAAATCGTGTCAGAACTCGGTCAAAACTTACTCAATTTGGATGCGGTTTGTGTAATGTGCATCTCTGTAGACGGGATAAGTGCCATGAGAAGTTTCATGGTCTTCTCTATAGCAATTAGGTAGTGGCATGCATTTGAATTACTTGAATTACTATAAAATGCATTTATCGCAATTTGGTTGGGTCTGCCAAGACCTAAAACGTGACCACCCGACGACTCATGGGATAAGGTCCTTCTTATGTATGACTTCTGCTTCGTAGAATGATTAGACAAACCTGGGAGTACTTGCTTGAACGAATGATGCGATATATGTGCTTTCAAAACAAGCTTTGTTGAGACGTTCTGGTAGGATTGCCAAGCTACACTTCAAGGGATAGCGTGGCAGCTGGCTATTATTGCGAGACTACTACTGGGCAGGAGCTCGTAAAAGCCGCCCTTTTAGACTCAGCAATACCACGGACAATGCCAACAATAATTAGTTTTAGCCCCCGGGATCCCGCTTCAGAGGCAAGGTGTATTCGCTCACAGTCTTTAGATGCGAGGTATCCCACACAACTATTTCCGGACTTGATCATTCACCAGAGAATATAGAACAACTGAGTCTATATAATCTCGTTAGCGCGACCGCTCTTTGTACTAGGACTGTAGTATTAATGACGTCAGGTTAATATAGGTCTTGGCATTAATCTCTTGGCTACCAGATCGCGTTAATAGAACCCCCGAGTTATTCCCAAAACGACGTATTCTCGACGAGAATAGTAGGGTAATATCTGTGAAAGTACGACGTGATTCTGCTGAGAATGTAGGTACTACTTGCCTTGACTCCCTTGACGACCTATTAAGTGACCTAGTTCGTAATATACGGCTTGTTCTCTATCAAATCGGGAAATAGTAGGCGGGCTAGGATAGTTAGCCTTCCGAGGGCCCGATCTCCTTGGGCGCTACTAAAACTAGGGGATAAGATCAAACTTTGACTAGATGGCCTGCATATTAACGTCAAGATACACCAACTGATTATCAGCACCTAGAGATGTATCCTGAAGCGTATAACCAAATCTTGTCTTGCCCTATATTGGGAAGTAGGTTAAGCGAAGCTAATCGCCATAATTCTACTTCACGTATGGCTCCCAAAACTTATCTTTCACCTTACTCCACCTCTCTCCTACTCCTAGGATCCGAAACGCGCGGAGATAAAGCAGAGACGGAATGCTCGACATACCATTAAAGATCGTCCCTTTAATGAGCTAAAGTAGAGATTGAAACATAGAAACGCAATGCCCTATACCCTTCGTCAATTTTCGATACATATTTGATACGTTAAACCTCCAAGATCAACAAGAGATATCATTTGGACAACCATTCAATTCCTACTTACCGATCATTCGAATAGATCAGATGTCCAAACCAAGTACGGAGAAAGACACGGGCAAACACCATCGTGTCGTTCGAGCCTGTGATTTTTGTCGGCTTAAGAAAGTCAAGGTAGAAGACGACAGCTCTTCCGGTGGCGCATCACATGAAGCTGACAACACTAAAGTGCGATATCTCGATCTCGTGTGCAAATTGTGTGCAACGCAACATTCCTTGCGTCCGTAGAAATGGCCGGAAACGTGCTCTGAAGCCTCAGTATGATCAAGTCATCCTGCGTTTCTGTCTACACGCTTTTTGCTTACTTTGTCTAGAGAATTTCATGACGCTCTTATTAACGCTGTCTATGCTCTCCATCAAGCCTGCAAGGGCAACTTCGACATGACGGGGGTTAGAGATATTACCAGCCACGCACTCCTTGAGAGCTTAAATTTCATTGGCCAAAAGCCCGATCCAGATACGGAAGCGGGACCCAAAACTCCAAGCCCACAGGGCACTCGAAGTCCAAGTACTTTTACTAACTCCGCTCCGAGCGCCGCTTCTACCAGCTCTGAGGATCCATCAAGGCCGGACAATATGTCTTCAATCTCATATCAAACCGATGGCAGTAGTGGAGGTGTCTCTTCGTCGGATTCAATCGACTTTATGGTTGGTCCATGGATGACCTCCATGGAAGCACCATCGATCACTCCTCAATCTTGGCAATCTTTACCAACCCCGAGAAATGCCAATGAGTTTGATTGTTTCGAACCTCATCACATAGTGCCTCCTCTGTTTGGAAGCGATTTCCCTGAACCCGGGCTGCCTGACGGGACCGGGATGACTAACACAGCTTCCATAGCTCCCCACTATGATAACACTACCTCTATGATATTCAATGATTTCTCCCGCTATCATGAGCCAATCGGAGAAATAAGACCACCAGAGCAAGACCGGCCAGTCCAAGGAGATTTTGGCTTCGATCCTGCTTCGCCGCTATCGAATCATAGCTTAGGCAAAATAGGCGACGTAGGGATGATGACCATTTGGCATGGTTACGAAAAGCAAGCTGCACATGGCACCCTCGAAAATCCTCCTGCTGGCTTACAATTCTCAGTCTGTACCACAACTCTACCTGAAACGCGTTCTGGGCAGGAAGACAATCCATCTACCCTGCCAACAAACTTTTCATTTCACAACAAGGCAGTTTCGCCAAAGGAACTAGCTCTTGCAACCACGAGTGAGCATCCGTCGAATACCCTGCCACCAGCGCGAGAGAGTGGCCGTGCATCGACATGGACCGCAAACAAGCGAAGACGCAATTCCAGCCGCGACTCCACCTCAGCCAAAGCGCAATTGCTAAGGAGTCAGAAGCGCCTAATCTCATTGGAGTAGAACCGTCGTGCTGCAGCGAAGTGTCGCGAAAAGCAACGTAGCGAGATACGTGAACTGAAAGAAGTCTCGCTCACCTCCGTCGCTGAGAACAGCCTCCTCAAACAACAAACGACACAAATGCGAGAGGAACTCCTCAACCTTAACTCCAAGCTTCTCACTCACGTGTCTCGAGGTGGATGTCGCAGGCCAGAGGAGGTGAGAATGGTGCTAGATGATCGATTGGACCGATTTTACTGCGAAAAAGGACCATGGTCCCAGGTGTGAGTCGACGGAGTAAACAGAGTCTTGAAAGAGATGCGGAGGTGCTATATCTTGTAAAAGGGTTTTGCGAAGGTGGCTGTTTCGCATCAGCATATACTACGTCTTGCAATGGTCCTGATAAGCGTCGTTCTCGTGCTCGTGTGCCAATGATAGCTGGGTGACAGATTTGTAAATGGTTGTTTGGAGATTATTTTTTCGCTCCACCTTCTTCACTCTCAATATTTCTATCACTAGCCATACTTTGAAACCACCCAAGTCAGTTCGTGGTACATTCGCTTCGCAATCTCGCTTTCAAAAGAACAGTCTTCGGCCTGCGAGACGTAGGTATGGAGAAAAACCATTGCGACGGACCTAGGCGGATATGTGCCCTACCGCAGTGAGAGTTAGGGGCCTTAGCCAGCTTGGCGAAATGCCATGTCGAGCAACGTTATGGTTAACTGACCACTGCTGCAGCGTTCTTGCATGGCCTCGAAGAAATGCGGAAATCTAAGCCACGTGGCTTTTCGCGGGCGCTTCAGTTTGATGGCAACCATTTGGTTCGATGTGCTCCACCTGAGTCGGCTATCTAGCACCAACGAGGCCCGGGGAGCGCTGAAGCCTCGAAGCATTCCACCGAAGACCTCTCTTAGCGAATAGCCCTACCAACCGCTTTTCCTCGCCAGTTGCTTTTCAATCATGGAGGCAAATCTAGACCTTTGTCAAATCGCCCACTATGGTGATAATCATAGACCTACCGTGGCTCAGAAGGCTGGTTCAACATCATGACGGTAGGTCACCCATCTGTCGTATTCGACTATGTATTTGGGTACGAACGCGCATATTTACTTAGCCCTATGAAGCAGGTAGCAAGGGTTGGTGGAGTTCGCCTCCTGAAACAATGATGTCATGGACCCCGCGTCGGAGTCAGGTTTAGCTTTCCGCGGGACTTCAACCAGCCAGGATCTTAGCTTTCCGCGGAGCCTTCGCCCATCCGCCTCCCATGACTGTCATTACCTATTTTACCTATTACTCGAGCAACCCATCAGGAACGCTCCATTGTGAACGAAGCTGCCAGCTGTTGGATCCACCCGCGTACCACAGAGGATCATGGATATTACTCTCGAGAACGGCATCCGGTTACGAAGCAGTTTCTACTACACGTCATTGGAATCTGTGGTGGAAGTGATCTCGTATTCATGCCAGGCTTGGCGGACTGGTTGCTTGATTATACCTGCACACTCTGTTCCTGTCTAGTCATGTTAATCTATAGTCCCCATGGCGGACGTTTTGCAACTTGTCGCTGGCTCGTCAGCGAAAACTTTTGAGGACTGCTGATCGATTCTTTGGGGATCAGACAAGGAGATCTTCACTGACGGTGCCTAAGCGTTTTCCTTTTTCTCAAAGTCTCGTTATAATTTTCCTACAACTTTGACACCATATACATCCGCGATGCTATGGGCTGATCTTTTGTTTCCGACTCTCTTCTCTACTTGAATTAAGTTAGAGGAAGGTCCATCTTTGTTCTGGGTGGAGGAAGACGCAGATATTTTGAACCTTACCCGAACATGATCACTCCTCCACCATCTCCTGCCAAGAAGGACAATAATTCAAATTATATTCATCCATCAGTCGTCTTGTTTGACCTCTAACCGCTTTCCCGTGATGGTCAATCGCTCTGGCGATGGTCTTTTCGAAACCCTAGCATCGTGCGGTGGCCTTGTGACGAGTATGAGCGGCTTGCACCAAGTCATGCCTACACTTGGTATGATTAGCCAGGTGCTGTGGAGCCTTATCACAACTATAGACTACGAGAAGATTTGATGCGAGAACATCGTGCATTGGCTGTCTTCCGAGAGAAGGATTTGTCTCTAGACCCTAAAATGGATTTTCAAGTATCTCAGAAGCTACATTCAACGCACGCGACTGCCAGTGATAGTATCACAACAAATTCCGTGCTGTGGCTCACTCTACACTACCAAGACAGCATGATCAACATTAACGACTGCGACTGGGAAGCTGATCAGAACGTGGACCGTCAATTTGCGATCGAGATCGCATTCAATGCCGTGGATGTCGAGAACATATGTTTCTACGACTAGCATTTGATGCTTCTCCCGCAAATGCTGCGGGACAAGACTGAGAAAATGGCAAAACGCTTGTCATTTGGTTCCCCTTGCACACACGGGTCCCAACTGAGGACATGTTTCATGTTCTCCCAGTCTGGAGAGAACTTCTTAAAGGGATATTACATTGCGAATTGATTGGATTTCATGTTCCGAGGTATAATACCATCATCGAACGAACCTATAGCGACCGCCTTTACATGGTCAATACTTTGACAGTCTTTCGGGAATCGTATTGGCTTTATGATGCCAGCGAAGAAAGTTGTGTGGATTTCCAATGAGTGTCTCCTTCTGCGACCGCTAGGTCCGAACGGGCGACGGTCCTACCGGGCTCGACTCCAAGAAGACCCTCGATTTTTCGTAGAAGCCCGAGGTCATGACACACATCGCATCGCTCATGGAATAGAGTCTCGACGCGAAATGCATCATCGGCGTGGGCCGCCTCGACTACTTCAAGGGTATCTCTCAGTAGCTTGACGCGATTGATGTGTTACTCGAACAACATCCTGAGATAGTACGGTAGGTTATGTTTTGCCATGAAAAACACCAGGTATTGAGCTAACAAAATGAACTGCCCGTCAAAGTTCCATATGCTGACTTGCAACGACCAGTGCACGTTGGACTGAGACGTTCGTTGCCGAGTTGAGTAGACTTAACCTCAGTAGTGGCAGTTATGGCGATATATAGGAATCGTCTAAAGCTGGCGCTATACGTGTACACAGGTATATTGGCCTTGTGATTACAGCAGCTAGTCTGCACGAGGCACAGAAGGGGGTACAACTACAACACACTCACCTAAGTTTGTGTGTACGATGGGAAACAGGATGTGCAACTATTTGAACGACTAGATGCATGGCATTGCTGTCTAACTTTTAGATAACGCCTTGCCTTCCCTGGCAGATACATGTTCACTTCGCCTTGTCGATCCAGACTAGCTACTGCTAAAAGAAGGATTCTGGTACTGGTAGACTCCCTGCGGATCTTGGTAACTTGGTATCCATTGGAGAAAGCTCTGGAAATGCTGTGGCACCACTGGGTGCTGCTCCGATTGGTCTGCCATCGAAGCGTTGAGATTGGTGTTATATAACAGTTGACTCATGTCACTCCATGGCCTGTTAAGGAAATATGTGGCCGAGGAAGAAGACTCTGAAGGCAATGCGCTCTCGCCCGATGATTGGCTTGAGAATGTTGGAGGTCTACTAATGTCGGCAGCAAGCCTCCCCTCAGATTCGAGGTTCGAGTTCATTCTACTCGCCGACTGATCGGGGAAGGAATTTGCCGACAAGTTGGTGTACCAGGAGTAGTTTTGACTGGACGAGGACGGTGGCGCCGCGCACACTGTCGAGATGTTTTCCCTCAGCAGGCTAAAATTTGGGGGTACTGCATCGTCGAGCATTCGTTGAAATGTCTTCACAATTTCGACGAGTTTCTGGGCGTCGGCGCTCTTCGTAGCACAGTATGACAAGACGTCCAGACAAACTTGGAGGCCGTGTTTCTTCAGCTGGTGCCGGGTCTGCTCCTGCGCTGATGTCAAGCTCCATCGCATACGAGACTCTCCGGCGGAAAGATCTAAAAGGAGGGTAAGGCACGCATGGTAAATGATTGTGCTGATTCTTTATCAGTCAAATGCTTATTGGTAGTTATACTGTCTGTGAACTGACCTCGCAAGCCAGGACTTTTTGCATATAAATCCCTGCGGTACCATTTTGGCACTGATGTGGCCGATTTGTATGGCTGCATCAGTACTAGATGAGAATTACATCGTTAGCCGAGGGTCCAGGTAGACTGTGTTATACGGACCAAGTATGCACGAAGATCCGCAAGTTTAAGGCCAACGCGGGAGCACCGCGAGTAGACCTGGAACGAACATCGCGGAGCAGCAACGGCCTTGTCAATAGCAGTACAACTGCTAGATAAAACATTTCAAGGTAGAGCTGTCGGTAGTAAGCATAGGTATTAGGACAGGGCTCGGAACAAACCACACTGATGAAAGCTCGTCTGTGGTCGCAAATGTGGAATTGGTTTCGCCGGCGAGATGGTCCGGGAAGTATCGTAGATTGGGCGGCAGGGATGAGGACCAGTCTTCGAGCATGTGCAAGTACTTCTCATAGGCAGTGTCGGGCGTCTCCGGCGACGTATAAATATCCCGAAGGAACTTGTTAACCACGATCGATATTTTTGCCATGTTGACCCCAAGCTCCTGATCTGGACTGCTTATGTCCTCGCAGTAGTCCTAAGGAACGTCAGTCAAGGTCTAGTCTGCCAGGCAGACACGAAATACCTGAATCAAGGGATCTCGCGTCGTATAGGGGTTGATCTGCGGTAAGCGGCCCGTGACGACGGCAATCCACCTATAGTCGATTAGCAAAAGGCTTTGGACTCATGGAGACTACTTGCACGCTCATGAAACTTGTCCCATTCCACACTTGTCGTCTTCGATTGTACTCCGCATCTGACAGTTGTGGGCATTGCTCACGGCCAAGATCGAGGCCTTCCATTTCGGCGAAGTGAATTGCGGTGCCTAATAACGTCAATTCTCACAACCTTCCGCAATAACATGAGACTGCATCTATACCTAGGGTAACTCGACACATATTCTTCTTCTCTGAGAGCCAGTAAACGCATTTCAGGAGCAAAACTTGTACGAGCCAGAACAACGACCCAGTCTCTTCATCGATCCGATTATTCAGCAAACGTTCTGCTGCCTCGTACATACCCCTGCGTTCATGCTCGTCAGAGACTTCAGAGAACCTGCAGCCAGTCGTGACTAGCCAGAAGACCACACACTTTGATACTGGGCTCAAGGCAAACTGAGGGTCATAAAGAGCATCAAGTAGTTCTAGGCTTCCTGCATGGTCACAGATGCAAAAAAGCATATTCGGACCGTTCAGAAACGTCATGAGCCATTGCTGTGCAACCTTCTTGGAGGGTAGAGGGAGGTCATTGTCGTTGGTGTGGGAATACCGAGGTAGCCAGGCCGAAGGTGCAATATAGCTTCTTTGGCCACTAATTGTTGTCTCGAGGAGTGCACCAGGATCATGCCCTTTTTCCTTCCACAGTTGACATAGTAGCTGAAGAAGTTGCTCCCCAGTAGTTGCGAAAATAAGGTCATTGTTAGGGTGAGGGGTTTGAATTTCGGTGAGTTCTGATCGCTTCCCGCCTGCGTCGGTAGATCGCTGGCCCAACTTGTTAATCTCCGCTGAAGAGATATTTTTGTTGGCCTGCGGGCGAGGTCGAAAAAGATATTAGCGGTAGATTGCCGGGGGGGTTGGGGGATTTCGTACCAGCTCTAATGCTAATATGTCCTCGTCTTCAATACCGCCGTAACCTTCCTGACTGCTATCGATAGTGACAGTACCTTGCTTGCTTCGCTTGTTCGACAATCTATATGCTTTCTGTTCGTATTCCACCCGTTTTTGGCGAGGAGGCGGCTGTTCTTCGTCAGGCAACCCTGGATACCCGCAAGGGAGTCCACGTAAGTGGCAAGAATCACACAATGGTCGGGCGCCATTGCATTTTTGATGTCTTGAGCGGCATGAATTGCAGGTTAACGAGAGCCTCTCGTACTTCGTCCGAGGCTTTTCAGCTGAAGTCATTAGGAAGGCTTTTTAGCGAAAAAGTGTTGGTTACGAGCCTCTTTCTTGCACGATGTCGGGGGGATTGGTTACTTTACTGAAGTAGTTTTGAGAATTAGGCTCAGGCAATCGGTGTGAGCATTAGAGCGCAGGAAAGTGATCGGCAGTTTCAATGCTGTTCCTAATCACAATTGGTGCCAACGGCTTCACGCCAAATAGATAAGCATAGAACACGGCAGGGTAACAAGAGAGGGGTTGATGTCGATCTTCATTGCGTGAGAGTCCTAAAGCTATCTCCGGGTGCTTGTAGTGGCGGCGGTGGGTACCGGCTGTTGAAGCTTTGCAGGAGTCAGTCGCGTGGCATAGATCTCCACGCGAGGCTAGGTTGAAAAGCCAGCATTCTGGGGTAGTCAATTAACCCGAATTTGGGGCTAGACTTGATTATTCTTGTTGCTGACCAACAAGAACGTACTTACGAGTAGTATCAATTTGTTACCGCAGTCCTCGGACGTGATATCCGCTGCTTATCTTACCTACCTAATGTCTAAGCCCTCTGGTGGCACCCGGGTATCTCTGTCCCGAACCTTGAACAAGGAGTAACCCTACCGTAGGCATGCCGTACTGGACTAGCGCAATAACATCCAGCCAAACACCGGGTTAAAAATCCGACCTTCGATAAACTTTATCCTACCACCGCTGTAGATTTACGTCTAGTCTACGAGTGACAATCGAGATCTCTACCTTAGATCTTCGAATCAGGTGCAGCTGACTTAACGAGTGTATCAGCTCGCTATGATATTGCTTAATGGTAAGCTGTCCAGGGTGTGCCCGAAGCTGCTGTCCAAGTGGACTACTGGGTGGCGAACACTGTTGGAAATCGAAATTTCGCAATAATTATCTGATTTTCGTTTTCGAAACGTTTGGCAAACAGCTTATTTATAAAGCAATGCTACCGATCAGTAGTAGTCTTCGACATCTCTACATTCTGCACTTGTAAATAATTGAAGCAGACCTGTTAGGATTTAAAGTCGGATCAGGACGAGTATTGTGGAACGGTAACTATTCAAGTTATCTTGAACTTGTTAGCGATTCAGGTGCACAGCCACCTAGTTAGAGTGCGCCACGTGGCGTCCCTTAGGGGTGTCCAGCCACCCTCTTATAGGGCACCCTGCCACCTATAGCCAGGGTGGATCTAGCGGGCTCCCCACCCCTAAAGTTAAGGGAAGCCATCTAAGCCATTCATTCACTCGATACCTTGCTCATAGAACTTCCACACTTTAGCAACATTCTGACTTATTTGCAGCTTCCACTTCAGGCAGAAGCCACCTGAGAGTAGTGAAGATCTCGTCAACTTGACCGCTCGTTCACATACACAGTTCTCTCTGTCCTTCCTTCTTCGTCTCCAGTGTTCACTGTGCCGACTCTCTCGATTACCAGTATTCCGGTCTCAGCTTCAGAATGCGGCCTATGTCTAACACCTTGTGGAACATTGAATACATCTCCCACGCACAGATCAACGGTCTTCCAGCCATCATTTTCGTGTTTTGACTCCGAGGTGGCTAGATCCATATGCAAAGGACCACCAGAGACAATATAGAACATTTCGTCGGTATCTGGATGGGAGTGCCAGATAAAGTCACCTTGAACTTTGGCAAGCTTCAAGGAATGTGATGAATTCAACGTTAACAAGTGTAATGGTGTCCACTGCTCAGTAATTCTGTGCAGCTGGTCCACAAGATTGACCGTTCCTTTGGTCGAAGCCACTTTCCTGTAGGGAGCAGTTGATATATGCTGGCCTGTTACCGGACTTTTGGGGATTGGCGTCGCTATTTGGCAGATTTGGAGTGTTTGTACTGGAGAATATATCGGTTTCACGCGACATTAGGGAAAACACGAGGATTTGCCGCCTTATAAAGGACATTGCATTATGCCACAGGGCGCAAGCCACGGGTGCAATTACTCATTGGAGGCCTCAAGAATGCCTAAGAACGCCAAGGCCGACTGCCACCGTATTGGGAGTACACGCTCGCTAGTACCTAACTACCTAGATAAATATAAAGAGGTAGACGATCATGGAAAGCCGTGATTTTGGCCAGTTAGTGTAAAGACATCTCCCCAGAAACCGAACACAAATATGACCTTTCCCTACTCGTGCTTCTGCCGTATAATTTCGAAGCAGTCTATCGAACAATATGCAGATGGTGATAGGTGGTGGCCCTTATTTATTGAACGCACAGACGCTCAAATCGAGAAAGCGTGAGGAAGTTGGTGGTCCATGCTCATTTTAAAAGCTATTAGAAGAGAAGTTTAGAATTTGGCAAATTTTAATCTCGGTTTTCCTCTTCCCATAGAAAAATGTGCTCGCTTACTACTCAGCTCCGGGAAATCATCGATAATTGTCGACCTGAGATCGTGCATTATGAAGCAATCTATAAAGCTATACACTCTAATCCTGAGCTTTCACACCAGGAATCGGAAACCGCTTCACTAATAAGGCAACATCTAGCCACCCTCAGTTGCGACTTCCAAATTCGCGGTAACATAGGCGGTCATGGCCTCATAGCAATTCTCCGAAATGGTCCTGGCCCGGTTGTTATGCTACGAGCAGATATGGATGCTCTACCTGTTTCAGAACTTACCGGATTGGAGTACGCTAGTTCCAAGCAGGCTAAGGATATGGATGGAAACTTGCAAAGTGTGATGCACGGTAAGTGTTCATTGGAGCTCTAGTAGTTGCTCGAAGAAATACTCTAGCCCTAGCTAAATCATATTTGCGTCAACAGCGTGCGGCCACGATGTACACGTGGTATCTTTACTCATAGCGGCAGAAACACTTCTTCATGCTAGGAAATCATGGACTGGCACAATAGTGTTCCTGTTTCAACCCGCAGAAGAGGCTGGTGACGGGGCTTCTGGCATGGTCAGGGATGGATTATACGATCCAGATCGTCACCGTTGTCCAATTCCCGATATAGTACTAGGCCAACACGTTGGACCCATTCCGGCCGGTGTAGTGGCCTCGAAAGCAGGCACTGTGATGAATTCGTCAGATTCATTCTTTGTCACCATCTTTGGGCGTGGTGGCCATGGCAGTATGCCTCATCGATGCATTGATCCAGTTGTGATCGCGGCGCACATTATCGTACGACTTCAGACAGTTGTAAGTAGGGAAACTCCTCCAGACGACACTGCAGTTATCACTGTTGGATCTATTCATGCAGGCGAGAAAGAGAACGTTATTCCAGACCGAGCCTTGCTCAAAATCAACATTCGTGCCAGTGTGGAAAAGGTTCGAAAACAACTACTCGATGCTGTGCACAGGATCATTGTGGCGGAATGTTCTGAAGGAAATTGCGAAAAGCCGCCAACGATCGAACACACATTAAGTCTACCGGTGACTTATAATGAGCCTTCGATCCATGCACGATTGAAACCGGGACTCAAAGAATATTTTGGCGACAAGTTCCTGGATGGGGAAAAGGGCGCTCTGGCGAGTGAGGACGTCAGCATCTTAGCGACTTCCGTTGACCGGCCATACTATTTTTGGTTTTTTGGAGGGATGGACGAGACGAAGTGGAACAAATTTGCCACGGCTGGTCAGCTGGATAAAATTCCTGTTAATCACAGCCCATACTTCGCTCCGGCAATTCGTCCAACTCTTCAAACAGGCGGCGATGGATTGGCGGTTGCGACCCTGACTTATCTACTCCAGAAACCGGACAAGTAGATGCTACTCTGTGACAGATATTAGTACGGGTACACCTTTGAGCCACAGGCTGGATGTATTAATCGATTAGTTAACTACAACCTCTCCCTTTGTCTGACCTGAGAGTTCCCAGCCGCCAAAGATAGCTTCTCATCCAAGAGATCCCAGGACACCTTGGCTCTTTTAGCAAGATCACTCACGACCGTATCTCCTGGTGTATATAATGACTTATGGAAGACCTCCTCACTGACCCATCCTTCCCATTTCATTTCAACGAACAACGCATAACAGATCTTCCAAATTGGCAGATATGCTCTTCGGTCATCCTCGAACGGGAAAAGCCTTGCATTTCGCGACCATAACATTCTCGGTTTCATTGAATCTTGATAAAGAGGATGTCCACGACGCATCGGACTTCTCAGCCGTTCAGCATCTGATAGTTGCACGTAAAATATTTTCCTTGGGTCCATTTCCGCCACCAATCTTCTTAGTGATTGGTCGAGTTCATGATCAGCATCAGGATTCAATCCTTGTTCCGAGGTCGGGTCTGCCCACACGCGACCGGCGATGTGGAAGGTATCTAGACACATGCCAAAATTTGGAAGGTTGACTCGAGTGATAATTTCCCAGGCCTGTTCCCAGGTATCAATGTGTGTTCCCCAGCTAATAGCTTCATATGCAAATCGGATCGGGTACGACCTTTGTGATCCGAGGGTTGCAGCGGTCGATAGATCTGCGACAATGTGGTCCACATTACCAGTAGTCCCATGAGGTTGAAAGTTCGATGCAATTTGTACTAAATCTGTTTCGAGAATTTCACATATCTCGAACCAGAACACAAGGTCTTCCAGCCTGTGCTGCCGTTGTGTCTCATCCAACAATCCTTCAAAGTATAGAAAAGGTTGTAGACATACGACCTTCAGATTCAATTCTTTGCATTTTCTGTGCACCTCTGTAGCTGCATCGAGAATTTCTTGCTTGTCTGGTGATTTTTCAACCTTGTGGTTTGTGGAGGCGAGAGCTTCCAAACACTCAAAGAATATCTCAACGCCTTCAAATCCGTTCAGACTAGCCTGGTGAAGTTTCTGGATGATATCATGCCCGGCTGATGCCCTTCCTAATGAAACCGATGCTATCGCTGGCCGAATCATTGTTGGAAAAGCTATGCAGGCTCGAAAACACTGGAGATACGATAATGTATGTAAAATTGGCAAAATACTAACATCAAAGGAGTCAAATCCGCGACATCGTAATTAGATCAATTCAAGGCAGTGACAGGATCATCATGACCACACCAAAGCAGGACTGCCTCACGGGAATAATACTCAGCCGGGCTATATCGACAGCTAACCACCCGGGCATCACAATCAACATATTGGTGTTCAATAGAATATTAGTCCGGAGTAGACTTACTCCGTGTCCCGCGCTGGGAAAAAGGGGAACAAAATATCTGTTGGAACACAGAATACAATTCCATCCGAGTGCCTTATCCGATCTTTCGCAACGTTGCAATGAAAGTACTGATTTCTAAAGAAGGTTGTATCCCAGATTTATACAGATAATCCCCGTGTTCTGTCACAAGAGATTTGAGCCACTTCCCTTACAACAATGGCTGAACGCGAAAATGACCAACAGGTGCATCCTCCGAGCATCTACAATCGGAGAGTCTATGCAGCGGCCCTGACTGCTTCTTTTGGTGGAGCACTCTTTGGGTACATCATATATTACGCGGTTTTATTGGTGATTTACTGATGTCTCCAAGGTTCGACAATGCCTTCCTTGGAGGAACTCTTGCACTCCCAGCCTTTCGCAGACAGTTTCATCTCGAAGGGGTTCCACAGAAGCAAATCAACGATCTCTCCAGTAATATCGTCATCACGTTTCAAGCTGGCTGCTTGCTCGCATGCTTCTTAGCCACACCAATTGCAGAAACTATGGGTCGGCGAAAAGCCATTCTTATCGCTTCCACTGTATTTAGTGTTGGAGCTGGTTTACAACTTATCGGCAATTTACCTTCATTTTACGTAGGACGATTCTTGACTGGCCTAGGAGTCGGACCTATAACGGTGGTTGCCCCAATTTTCCTCGCCGAGATAGCTCCTGCAACTCTTCGTGGAAGGTGTATTGGCTTCTTCGAGATGATGTATCAGCTAGGTATGTGAAAGCCGTTTGCAGTTTACACACAATGGGTTAACATCTTGGCTCGCACCTCAGGTGGACTCTTAGGGTTTTGGATCAATTATGGAGCATCACTGCACATTTCGAGGGAGGCTGGGATGCAATGGCGGGTACCTGTCTCGATACAACTCCCGCTTGTAGGGCTCCTCTTTATAGGTGTTATATTCCTTCCAGAAACACCTAGATGGCTCATCAAAAAGGACAGGATTGAAGAAGCTGAGAAGACCTTGTCATGGATACGAAAGCTCCCAACAGAACATCAATATCTTCAGAATGAGCTCACGGGCATCCATGCAGAGTTACGGCAAGAACTACAACAGGCCGGAACTGCGAATCTATCAAAAAGAGCATACATTCGAAACCTAGTCCGGGAATGTATGAGACCAGATATGCTCCGTCGCATTTCGGTCGGAGTGATCACTCAATTGATCGGACAGCTATCCGGCATCAATGGCATCAGTAAGTCTCTTTTTCATTTGTCATAACTAGCTAAGGGAAATCTCCACCTGCTAAATAACAAACAGACTACTATTCTCCTACTATCTTTCGGTCTTTAGGTGTTGTTGGCACCAGTACTGGCCTCTTCGCAACTGGTATTTATGGAGTGGTAAAGACTATTACAGCTTTTGTGGCTTATTATTTCATCGTCGACCGTTTTGGACGCCGAACATTGTTACTCGTGGGTTGTGTGATAATGACAATCGCACTGTTCACGGTCGGTGGATACGTTCAAATCGCAAGACCAACTGCTAGCGACCAGGCAATCAGCAGCGGTGGAATTGCTGCTTGTGCGTTCATCTACATATATGTGATTGGGTTTGTTGCTTCATTTGCCGGTGTGCCTTGGATCCTATCCAGTGAATGTGTGCCCCTGAACATCAGGGCAACAAGTGCAACCCTTGGAGCAGCCTTTCAATGGCTTTTCAATCTTGTTATCACGAAAGCCACACCGTACATGATCACCTCCATCGGGGCTGGGACATTTTTCTTTTACGGTTCATGTGTTGTTATCGGCGCAATATATGTATGGTTCTGTGTGCCAGAAACCCGTGGCCTACCGCTGGAAGAAATTTCCAGAGCATTCGGGATTGAGCTTGCGCCCTCAAACACGCAGAAGGAGACTCCCAAAGAATTGAATGATGTGAAAGAGTTGGAGTCGGTGTAATGTCTCGGAACAGAATTGCGCACTACGCATATATCAGCGAGCAGATCATTAGTGGGCTCGCCATAAAGCCACTGTCCAAGGGTTCTCGTACTTCTTCTACCCTTCGTAGGTTTTCTACACGAAATACGGAAAACTTGCTATCCCTGGAACAGAATTGATTCACGTTTTGAGTCGTGTTAGTTGCTGCTGGATGAACTGCGTAGCTTCAGGGTTGCAATCGTGAGAGACAAGGTATTCCTCCAATGCTGCGATTCTCATGAGTGTCTCGGGCACTCTTCTGCTTGTCAGTAACTCAAACTGAGCCGATGATTGAGCACACAAATTTTGAATCCCATCAATTGGTACCCATCCTCGATCGGAAGCCTTCTGAATCTGGTGAATGAGAGGTGTGACCAATTGTTGGTAGTTCAGGTCAATCACCACCCCACCGGTTGGACTCTTCATCCACTGAGAGGGAAGTGTCAAGTTAGCACCAAGATGAAGGATCTTAGTAGGTGCAGGTACGCAGCATATAACAATGGTAGGCTGAGACATATTGCTTGGCCAGTCTGAATTCAGGGATTCAAGAATTGAGAACTGTCGCTTTGTAGAAAGGTTCGAGCTCGTTGAGGGATTGTCAAGACCATGCAAATATGTGACCGTGTCCTTTACCAATTCGACGGTCGAAAAATCCTTAATTAAGGCTTCGGCATTTGATCTTGTACGGTTGAATACCACAATATTGGAGACTTTCAGTTGGAGAAGAGCATAGATCGCTGCTCTGGCCATACCTCCCGCTCCGATTACAAGCGCAGCTGAATCCGATGTGATGACATTTGCTGGTGACAAATTCCGGAGAACACATTTCATCATGCCGACCCAGTCCAAATTATCACCATAGAGGCCCATTACTGGCCCTGCTCGGTTACGGGCAGCCCAGAACTCTGCTGGGGGTTTTTCGGTAAAGTCAAATGGATGACGAATCGGAATCAATGTATTGACAGCACCAATGTTGCTAGCGTGGATGCTTGTTGTAGATAAGAAGGGGAAGATAGACCGCTTGAAGCCTTGCGCGATGCTCATCCCACCAAAGTTGTGATCTTCGAAAAGGCCTTTTACACCTTCCAGTGTAGGGGTCGAGAGTCGACTGCATTCATGAGGCATCCCAAAGAACTTATGAGCGGCATTATGAATTGTTGGTGACAGGCTGTATGAAACATCCAATCCAACAACGTAGTATCTCATGGGATCATAAACAAAGGTCGCATAAAGTGCACATTGCAAGTCCGCGATAGTATACCGAACATTTTGTTCGGACTGGCGGTGTTCTGTCCCCGCAGAGCACTGTTGGATATTTTTCGTGGTTACTGGGGTCAGTGTATGGTTGTTTAAAAGAGAAGGACGTCCCAATATGCCAGTATTATAGTTGATGAGGAAGGGTGCGGGAAGCCTTGCTCGTTTTGCCTTGATGGCGAATGCAACAGCGGCTGCATTATCATCTAGGCTTGTTGCGACTTGGGTCAGCCTAACTCCTGCCATCTGAAGCTTCTGCGCTTTTTGATAGAGTTCCCACCGCTCATCTGTGCTCCAACCGTCCGGGAGGCGTTCAGTATCATGATAACATCCGACAAACTTTGTATGAGTCCAAGATTTGAACATTGTCTCGATTCTGTTGGATGGCCACCGGAGATCCATGGTGATGTATTGTGTGCCAAGTCGTAAACCGTGATTGATCAGTGTGAAATAATTGCTGTCCATGTACTGTAACATAGGCTGTAATCGTACATGGTAGATTATTGGTCCAGGGAAGAAGCGGGTCAGAATCCCAAAAGCACGACTGATTTCTTCAATCAATAGCGAAATGCTAATCTCAGTTTGCCTGGCCTTGAGCACGATTTCTAGTTGGCAAGCGTCTGCGCCGCAGTCCAGCCACTCTCCCCTGAAATCCTTGTCAGTAATCTGGTCTAGAGAGACTGACAGTAAGTATGTGTAGATAGCCCGAGTTGACATGAAATTCAAACGACCCTGTTCTTGATCAGGACTTGGCATCCCACGCCAAACATTTCGCACTAATCGAACAAAGCTTTCTTCGGTCCTTTTCAAGAGAAGTGACTGGGGCTGATATGTTTTGAGGCTGAATGACAATGCATCGATTCCGTTCGTAACTGACACTGACGACGACAAGAACTCGGCTTCATCAATATTGTAAAACTCAAAGTTCGAGCACGATCTGTACATTCGATTGCTCAGATTGACCACACGCGCGACCTTTGATGGGTCCCAAGGAGAAAGGTACTTCTGAATTGCTTCTAGACTTCTCACGACATGTATGACTGGATGTCGGTCTGAATATTGTCTGAATAGTCGTAAGAAGGCTTCTTCGACATAGTGAGACGGACACACAAGGGCGCAGCCATCTCTATGAGTCTCAATTGTTTCCTTCAAAAGTGCAAGGTCAACTTCACGGCAATGTAGGTTTCCTTTCTCCTTTTTCAGCAAGGTTCTGGTCTGACCTGTCCTTCGCTCAAAGATCGTTTCGAGGTCAACAGGTTCCAATCCCAACGATTTTTGGGCAATCAAAGCGAGACTTGATTTCCCAGTGCCTCGAGCGCCTACAAGCAATATGGACGCTTGCTCCAAAGGAGGTTTATTCGAATCCATCGACAACCAGGGCATTCTCAAAATATGGCCATGAGGAACTTATCAATCAGAGTGGATTTCAAAATGAATCGGATACTATTGAAGATCTTGTGGCCGGTCTTTTGTGAAAGGCAATCGCAAGGGCTCAGTGTAGTATTCAGAATGATGTTAAAATGATATCAACATAGTATCCATGTCCTCACGCAACTAGGCCTCTCAAAAGCTCAAACCGTTGCGCCAGTATATTCTGCCTATCACTAGATCTTCTAGGAGAAGCGGTAACCTGAGAAACCCGAAAAGAGGGAGAAAAGACGTCGAGAACAAGCGCGCCAAGCAATGTTGATGATATCATCCGGAGTTGCACTTAGCCGGGAAGAAGCTCTGCACCCCGCGTCAAACTTCAGAATTCGCTTCGACTGAGTTTGCCCTGGGGAAGTCTGCATTTACGTTCAGTGCATCTGTGAGACTGCCTGAAGTTTTGCATCGATGCTATGCCGTGCAGATCTTCGACGCACCAGTCAAATAAAAGATTGTTCCTAGGGCTAAGGAGCGCGGGTGCACACTTCATACTTCGAATCAACAATTTGCCAATGGGCTGTGGGCTTTGTCATCACCCTTAATTTATGTCATTAACCTTGACAAATGGCTAAAGTCCGCTGCGTTGCGCCAGTCATATGTAGCTCCTGCCATATGACTTACGGGGTAGAACGACAGTGAAACTGTTTCAGCAATGGAGGACCGAGAACAAAGAAAGAGGAAACGATTGCGTACCGATCGAGAACCAGCTCTATCACTGAACAAGAGTTCTATCAAACGAATCTCACGTGCGTGCGACAGCTGTCGTCAGAAAAAGAATCGCTGCGATGGTGTTCGACCAGCCTGTTCCCAATGTGCCGCTGGAGGTATCAAATGTATGTATGGAGCTCAAACAAGGAAACGAGGACTTCCTACAGGCTATGTGCGCATCCTCGAGGCGCTCTGGGCTATCACTCTTAGACTTGTTCCCAAGAGTGAGGAAACCGCGCTGAAACTCTTGAAAGGAGTCTCAGTGAGATATGACGAAGAGGAAAAAGTGATATTCGAAAGCGGACATCTTATCGGTGATGAGCCACTCCGAAAGATTTGGGCACAAAGCCGGTTGCGGCAAAGGATTGATCAGATGGTCGGTCAATTTGAGAATGGCGCCGACCCTAATATCAGCCGTCAGCAACCTATGGATCTCCTCAAGTCTTCCATGAGTTCCCTCGATGACGGGACCACAATTGCCATCGAGCCGTGGTACACAAACAAAGAACCTTACATCGAGAAGGAAGATCGTGCATTAGAACTTGGTGACATGGAAGCAGATATTACAATTGATGACACCATCGGTCAGCAACAAGAAGAAGTCCAGGAATCACTACGTTGGCAGGAATTGTCTTCAGTACCGACAGGAAGTAGAGACTCTCCGTTACACAGTTCTCACAGTCGTCGAACTCGCAAATTTCAAGTCCCTCATGCGATGTGGGCACTCATCGACATCTATTTCAATTCTGTCCACTGTTGGTTCCCTATAGTCCAGAAGCATACAATCATGAAGATAGCTTCTTCTTCTCAAGATGGGCTTCTCGAAGATGACTACGAGATAGGATTACTTTCCGCGATATTGGCCACTAGTTCAAGTTACGATTCCTCAATCAACAATAATCTAATTGCGACCGATTCACAGTTCCACTATGAGTCAGCCTTACAGATGATCTCGATTGAAGGTAATCATGCACACGCTCTGAGTATTGCCCAGATTTTGCTTCTTCTTTCAGTCGTTGACATGGGTCGAGGGAACTGGACGAGCGCATCTATTCTTGTCGGCCGTGCAACGAGAACTGTTCTTTTGCGGAACGAGAAGCAAAGCGAGATTTCGGCCGCCAATATTAGCAGTGGGTCTCTAGCTCTGATTAAAAGAGTAACTCTCGGCTCATTCATACTTGATACCCTCATATCAGCGCACCTGCAGACTCTCCCTCATCTTCGAAGTCAAGATGTGCAGAATTTATTCGATTTTGAGGAGGACGGCCCGGATGAATGGGATCAGTGGATCAACAACGCGCAGTCCATCCACATCGACACACGATTTCAACCCTCTTCCCGCCAACAAATCCCGTTGCGAGCTTTGAGTACATTCAAGAACTATGGGAGTCTATGCTGCATCCTGAATGATGCGATTTGCAAATCTTTCATCGGACACAATTTTGACCAGGCCGACGGACCAGGGTTCACGTCAATTCTTGACAGCTGGGTGGCGAACCTTCCGAAACACATTCAACTTACCCCAGAGAACGTTACAATTCAATTCTCACCTCCGACAGCAAACCTGTACCTCAACTACAGTGTTGTTCTTCTCTATCTGCAATTATCTCCTCACTCGGCAAGAAAGAACCCGACACGCACTGGAATCCGGCAGGCGTCCGGTGTATGTGCAGCTTCATTGAAAGCATACAAAGATGCTTTTGGTCTGTACGAATGGAAAGCACTCCATGAGTTATACACAGGGCTTCAAACACGCCTTGGCGCTTTCGAACCTCCATATACTATACGCTACCATGCTGGTCAAGGCCGATCTTCAGATGTCTCTGCGAAACATGGGGCGACGTCGGTGCTGCCTGTTTCATACGATACACGCCAGTCGAACGTCGAGCCTCTGGCCGAAGGAATCAATTCATCTTTTGCCGGGCAACAGGATATCGAGCTGTCCTCTCATCTGGCTCGTTCTCAATTCGAAATCTTTCCACGCTTCCAACATAGTGAATTGATGCAAGGGGAGGCGAATCCCTTGTCGAACCCGCAGCCCCACGAAGAAGTATTAGCTGGACATGACATGCCTCTTCCCAGTGAAAATTTCGACTCTATGTCAGTAGATATGACCATATCTTTATCACCATTCAACCGTTTTCAAGATGCGGGCACAGTTGAGTCTCTTTTGGAGGAACTGTCTTCCATAAACGAGAATGATTGGGATATGATGCCCTCGCAATTCATGTATAATCTCGGGTTTTATGATACTGAAACTAAGGGTTGAGATGTGTACAATCGCACACCCAAAAGATAGTTTTATCTTCGAATGAGAGAACGCGAGACATGAAACGACAAGACACATTACACCGCTATCTGGGTATCACCAAATGGGCGCTGCTATTTGGCCACGTGCTGCGTTTCACGGTAACCAGGAGCAATAACAGGCAGATGGCAAGAATCACTGCATTTATTTAGTGCCTTGATCGACTTTATCCTTCAACCGGTTCAATTTCAATATCATTGCTATACACCCCAATAGTGGGCGAATCTAACTGCTATAACTATTGGCTTGAAAGGGAGACTTTTTGCCTATAGCAATTTATTCTCAACCACGAACGCCTCAACCTCTCTATTAAAACGCGTAGGATCCTCCATAAACAGGAAATGACCATAATCAGCCCACTCCCTCGTCTCCAATTTTGGCAGGTGGCGAAGCCAGGCGCGATCGATGTCCGCAAACCTAGGAGTGACGATATGCAGCGCTGGGATCTCGTACACATCATTCCATCGGAAAGGCGGCGGTAGCAGATCTGTGGTGGTGGCGTTGGTCCGGACATGCTTTGCAGTCCCCGCCATTGTGTCAATCACCAGACTTCGTATATCAGCAGTGGCGCGAGGGCTGAAAAACGTGTTGACGGTCTCCACAAAGGCCGTATCGTTGTTAAGCTTAAAGCTCAGTTCTTTTCTCTCGGTCTGCGTGAAGTAGTTTTCCGGAAGATTGAAGAATGAGTCCACGTATACAATTCCTGACACCTGTTCGGAGAATAGTTGTAGAAATGTAGTTGAAACTGGGCCTCCCATGCTATGGCCAACAAGTACCGCCTTTTCCACCTGAGCGTCGTCGAGAACAGCTTTGAGTGCCTTGGCAAAGTATTCCCGTGAATATTCGATGACAGGTGCTTCGCTTTTTCCATGTCCAGGAAGATCGATCACCAAGGCTCGAAACTGTTGAAACAAAGGTGCCTGGTCTTTCCATAACCCTCCGGCACAAGTCCAACCATGAACAAACACGAGTGCCTCAGGGCCAACACCATATTGTTGGTATGAAACTGTTGAATTACTGAAAGAAATTGTGTTAGTTGTGGTCGACATCCTCGTAGTTATAGCTGCAGAGATGCAGAGCCTGGCACTTAGGAGGCCATATATCCAGCGCATTGTGCTGAAATTACCGGCAACGTTTTGGATTGAATCGTCTGTTGATTAATCAGCACGCAACCATGCAACGGTTCTTCCGGTGATTGCGGGGAATAGTTCTTGGATGATCACCGATATATATTGAACCTGTCGGAGAAGTGAAACGCCGGAGGTCATTGAGTGGGACAAGGGTTACGTTGTTTTTCATCTGATGTACATAATTGACAACCGGATGCCTTATTTCTGAACGAGTTCTACCGGCTGTACGATACTCCCGGGCGTCAGAGACGGAAATCTTTTCCTGCATACAGTAAGGACCGGTTTATAACATGAGCCGTTCACTTAGCTCTCATCCAATGCTTCTACGTACAAATTTGCCTCGATCCGAGGAAAGGTCTCGCCAACCTTGCGATGGCAGGATTGCTAGTGATCGCCTACCTCGGGAAAGAAGAACGCATCCCAATCTTGGTCCAGATCCATCATGACACCGAAAGAGCCTGTGTACCCTCCAGCTGCATCACTCATCCAGTTCAGGCTGGCATCCATGCTGTAAAGCCCTTGATAATCGATTAATGGTAAATGAGCTTCTGGTATGTTGGACGTTTGCTCCATGACGTTCTCAACCAAGGGAGCTGAAGAATTGAACTCCATACCTCCGAATGAGGCGCTGGTCGTTTGAGTAGCAGAGGCTATTTTTGCACTTGCTGCCACATGCAGTATTCCAAAGTATGGTATTGCAATCCTTGATGGGATAGCTTTGACAATATCGCTTGCGTAGAGCGACATTAATCCCGTAAGACAACTGTGACATTGAGCTGCAATCAAGCAGTTCTGCTCTCGTTCGAGTTGATTAAGAAGGGCGACTGTGGTATTTACAAGCTCCTTGTCTGATGGTACAGTGAAATCTCGTGATTGGCGCTCTTGATTTGTTCCAACAATGAGAACGACGGATGCCATGAAGCCTATGAAGTCGAGAGTTTTGCAGTCAAAAGTAGGCTCAGTATTGACTGGTGTTCTTAGAACATGATATCGCTTGATGAGTGCTCTTGCGGATTCCAACCCGGTCTTCCGACTACCACTGTACAAGTGTGATGATAGTGGTTTGAGTATGCATGGCAAGTGCAAGTACATTCTGGTCAGGAAGAACACACAGTGTTCGACAATTCTAGCTCGAAACTCTGGAACTTCGGATGCCACCAACGGCATCGCAGGATCCCACCACCTTTGGCCTTTGCTTGCTGCAAGCATCTCAAGTTCATCATCGATATCAATGACTTTGGAAAATGGTGGCGATGGATATGTCTGGGTGTGGTCGATAACTTTACCTGTCACCAACCCCATGCGAATCACGAATGGTTGTGCCACTATCCCGCCGGTTGCATTGACGTTGATTGGGAATTGATCATCGGGCATGCCATACGGCAGACCTAGTAGGATCGACAAGAAGCGGTCTCCTTGGAATATTGTCCACCACAGAGCACCGAGCTTCGGTGAAGTTGTGTAAGTGCGGTGCAGATTCTATTGAAGGTCAGATTCTTTTCAGCCCATATCCAGCAGACAGAGTTACCATCAATTGACATATGTTCAAACCTCGACGATTGCACAGAAATGCTCGACGAGGCTGTCCAACATCAAGATAGTTCTTGGTGTGGAACGCGATGAGTGTCAAACCGGCTAAAGTCCCTGCATATTGATCGTCGCCAATAACTACTTGATCGATGACTGACATATAACGAAGTGCATCGATGTCAGTATGACGAGCGAACGCTGATATCAGCATGCCCACGTCTGTTGGCTCGTCTAAGTCGTACACACGAGAAGCATATTCTGTCAACGTTTCCTGCTGAATGGTGCTCCCAAACGTCTTTTGATGCCAGTGGACCCACCATTGACTACGATCGGAAAGACAACACTTCAAGTCTTCCAACGGTGGAATCGAGCCACGAAGCGCATCACATGTTTGTTTAGCCTTTCTGTTTGTCCCAGCCGGCATTGAATAGTTCTCAATTTCAACAGATGACAAATGCATGGCGGAGAGATCTGGCCTATTTGGACCTGATACTAGCTGAGGTTTGATCAGTAACTGTACAACCAAAACTCATGACAAAGTTGTAACTCTTGTAGAACGAAGATAAACCTACGCTCGATCCTTGAAGAACAGCAATCAGTGGAGCTACATGACTTGTTGCATCTAAACCTGGCTCGCAATCGTCGAAGAATCCCAGGCTATCTCCGCTGGCTGAAATGGGAGGCCCATGGCTAGTAAGCGGGTTGCTCGAGTGATCACCAGAACTAGATACGTTCTGAAGTGCATCTAGCCTCTCTTCCAACCTCGATACTCGTTCTCGGAGGGTCTTCCGATCTTCTGCGCTGGGATCTGAGATTTGCTGGGCCGGGTCAACACAGTCGAGATTATACTTGATGCACCTTTTGCAAATGGTTGGACTTTCGGGATCGTAGTTACAGCGGACTTTCCTCCGCCGACCTGCAAAACAATCAGATTTTTAGACTCCACTTAGACGAGGCAGTCTGGTTCATGGAAACAGAGAAGGGTAGTTGCCAATGTTTATGATGTGGCGCAAACTAATCCAGACTCACATTCAACACATGATCGTACGCCTCGTCGGATCGGTCTAGTATCCGTCGATGTTAATAGAGGTTGCACGGACATTTTCGGTAAACAATACCCGAGACAGGTGTAAACTAATTGATGGGCCGCAATTGATGCGCTGCGCACTAAAGCCGGCGTAGCTCACTTCAGATATTTGCCTTCCGCGGGTGGTACATGAAAGAGATGGAAATGGGAACAGGAAAAACTGTGGGATTGATCAATTTCGGTCCGCTTCGACTCCGCGAGACTCGCCAAAATGCTAGGCGCGTGATTGATATGAAGTGACTAAGGCGGTTTACTCCGTCTCCCTGCCCAACCCAGATATTCTCTCGGCACCGAATACAATCTGCAAATCTGAAAGTCTCACAGTGAGATTATTATTTCACACTGCGAATAGCCTGCTGGTGTATCAATATCGGGGCTGGGACTGTTGGCAAGTAGGGAATGAGGATTGGACGCACCTTTGGATCCTCCACGCCCTCATAACCCGGACTGAACATTGCGATAAATGTGGGATTGGTGGGCCCAACATGTTGATCGTCTCTACCGGCCAAGATGACGTGGGGATATCCAAGACTGACTGGAGCAGCAGCTTCGATCTCTTTCATCTCGGCCTCGGTGAGGTCAATATCAAGGGCGGCGATGTTCGATTTCAGATTCTCGATTTTGCGGCCTCCGATGATCGGGAAGATATATGGAGCCTTGCAGATGTCAGCAGTCCATCGAATGTGGGAGCCACACCACAGTTCTTACCTTGAGTGTCACATATCGCAAAGCAATTGCCATGGGATTTGTGCCCTTTTTCTTGGCGATACGTTCCATGACCGTGGCAGCTGCTTCGTACGCTTCAATCCCTTTGCCAGCCAGGTCATAGACTGGTCTTCCATCTGCTTGTGATTTTTCAGCCTTGGTCTTGAACTTGCCTCCTCCCATTGCCTCCCAAACAGTCAACCCAAGGCCCTCTGCTTTGCACATTGGCAGCACCTCTCTTTCAATGTCCCGAGCAACTGCATTGAGCAAACCCTCATACACAACAAATGGTGTTAGGGCGTGTTGTCTGGCGTAATCATTTGCCTTGACCACGAGCCAAGCTGGCCAGTTTGAGACGCCCAGGTAAAGGACCTTGCCTTGCTTGACCACATCATCGAGAGCCCTCATCATTTCAGGAATTGAAGCCACGCCATCCCAGGAATGAACGTAAAGTATGTCCAAGTAATCTGTCTTGAGTCGTTTCAAGCTTTCAGCCAGAGACAGTCGGAGGCTTTTCTTATTGGAACCACCAAAATTGGAGGTGATGGTTCCAGGGGGGCATAACTCGTGAATCTTGTAGGTGTAGGTGTACTTGGTGGCGAGTACCATCTCATCCCGGACTCCTCGATCACTCATCCAGTCACCTAGCCATTCCTCCGACTCTCCGGCCATGTACATATTGGCAGTGTCGATGAAGTTTCCACCTGCCTCACGGAATTGGTCTAGAATGGTATAGGTAGTCTCCTTGGTACATGCGCCAACAATCGAGCTCCTAGAAATCGTTAAGATATACCTCGGGAAGAATTGTGGACACCAACCATATGTCACCAAAGTTCATTGCACCAAGACAAAGAGGGGAGACCTTCAGAGAGCAATTTGGACCAAGGACTCTGTGATGACCGAGCCTGGTCTTCGGCATAGGAGCAGGTGTGCTGGCCATTTCTGTAATAGCTGAGCGATGAAGGCTTATGAGTGGATCAATTTGGGTGATCAGAGTGAATCAACCTGAAGTTGTGAAATGAAGTCTTGTAAATTGGTCTGCGTCCTGGCTTCTTATATGCCTTCGAGGGCATTGTGGCCGGTCAACAGACTGAAACCAAGAATGGACTCGCGTAATAAGCGCAAGGCTATGGCAGAAGGAGTGCTGGCAGAAATCCTACGAGCAAGGAGCTGCTGCAAGGCAGCCTATGGTCGGGGTTTGGGCCGGCCATAGTGGATTTTATCGAAGGCGGACCGCACTTGCTCCGCGAGGGTGTGCTTTCCTAAAGCAGAATTTGAGCTCGGCGTTTCACGTGTACTTCCTCGAATGAGTAAGTGCGTGCACGACGCCATGTTGATATATGTTCACAACTTGACTTCTTCTGGAATCTGCGATACTCAGGAATGTTACTCATGGTACGAATCCTGTAGCATGTAACTGCTTGGCTTAGCCAATTTCGAAATGGTGGATACCCAGTCAGATTCCCGGACACTGGGAGGTGTTCAAGTTCCCTAAGTTGACACTATCTCTGGACCTTGAATTTCACATCGGTATCTGCTTCACCTGCTGGGATGGGGTCTGAATTCTCGTCATATAAGGTCCGTTCGAAAAACCTGATGTTGGAATCTTTGTCAAAAAGAACCACCGTTTGCTTCTGTGTGCCATATAGCCCACTAGCCCCGAGGACGACGGGTTTGCCTGTCGTGCCAGGGACAGGACTATCTTGGCGTATTGGCGTATTATGCCCAATAACATCAACCTTTTCCATCTGTTTCGCTGCTCGGAGGACATCACCCGGAAGAGTAGGGCTATCTTTTTTGCCCAGGGCAGGGACAAAGATGGTGTTTCGCAGAGCTGGGATGTAAGTCTCGAGGCCATGGCGGGGTTCCTGCTCATCTATCACGGGCAGGGTATTGTGGCTGAGAACCCCGAGTAGTCTCTGGATGAATTGATCCTCGGTGTCGTTCTGTTCGATACTGGCGCGGATGGAGTTAAGCATGAGTTGCTCACCCAGGGTGACCTTTGTCCAAGAACGATCGAGAAAGGCAGCATTGCTCAAGCCGACAGTTTGAACAGTATCGCCAGCAATCCAGGGAACTTGACTGTGGTCTTCTGCACGATTAGAGATGACAGCCAGCTTTTTACCAACCGTTCCGCAAACGAGACTGAAGCCACCCGCGTCCTTTGCGATGCCTGTGGTGACGACTTCCTTCACGAATTGATCGACAGGTCCCACATCTTCGACCAAGAATTTCTTCATGATGGCCCCACGGCTAACCGCACCAACGGGCTGGGTGGTGTATTCACGGTAGTTGGTCAGCACAGCGATTTTTCCAGCCTTCGTAACACCAAGCCAGGTGCCATGAACGTCTCGCAGCATGTCACGGCCACCTAGGACGTGAGTATCTGGATCTGGCCACCATCCTGCCCGGTCTGTTGGCCGGTTCAGATACTCATCCCGGTTGTCTATCAGGATGAGGGGATATGCTGGGTGGGCAGTAGATATTAGTGCGATGCACATTGCTTTGACTGGTGTGTCAAATGCTGGTTGCCTGTAGAAGAATGATGTTTAAAGTAGGCGATCGCTATGTAGGCTGGAAGTCAGAGGTTGAGTTACCGATTGCTCATTGTCTTGCATCCGGAGGATGGAGCAGGAAGAGAAATCGAGAAAAATTTGGTCGATCAGTGACGGAGCCGAGGCTGCCCGGCGAAGAGAACTGCACCGGGAGACACTTTCAGTACCTAAATAGGGTGGGTACCTAGCCAACACTCACTAACTGGGCACTGGAAGAGGAATGGAAAGGCGTAGTTTGGGCATATTGGGTCAGCTGGAAGGTACTTGACAGGCCAAACATAAGCCCGAACACCGTCTTTTGGATCTCTCCAATCCTTGTATGGACAGCTGGCACCTAACAAATGGGTGCCTGACTTAGGCTGGTTCTTCTCGTGACCTGTAGGCCGCTGCAATCGAATTGTAATGCCTTCACAGCTGGCGATCCGGTCAGAATACCGGTGTTTCCTCATAGCTTGAGTCTGGTTGTATGGATTCAAGTGGTTACTAGATAGCTTGGTACCTAGGTATGGGATGCTCTCTTCTCTTCAAAGATAATCTTAGAAGACACGTCTAGGATGGAACATTGGAGAGGACGCGTCAGGCCGAGAGCCTTGGGTTGCAACTTCCCCACTAACCACTAGGTGTACCCCAGCACCTAGTACCCTAGGTACTTAAGTACTCGGACTGTAGGGACAGTAACCCGCCCGAGCGCCCTGGACTGACCATACCAACTCTCCACTGGTACCTAACTACCTTGGTACTCCCTGCTAGCAATCTGAACCCCTCCAACTTGAAGTTTCCCCTCCGTCGTCACCCCTCACCCATCCCACCTCAACATCGGCCATGATGATGATGATGTAGCTGAGCATGCGCAGGCATGCCTACCTACCTAGGTAGGTACAGCCAGGTACTCATGATTTGGGGCAACTTACCTTTGCTACGCCCAGGCTGCACTCCATGAGAAAACCATACCTTCTTCAGATCTGGAATTAAAATAAAGAACACTTTGCATCTACTTGTCATCTGGCAGACACCCAGGCATCTCCTCTCCGACTTTGCTCTTCGTCTTCCCTCCAATCTCCATATTTCACTGTCTCTCCAGCTCCCTGTGCAGCAGAACCCTCACCGCATGCCAAAAGATCACCTGGTCGCCCGCCAAACATGTTTGGCCTCATAGCTGATTCAATCTCGTAAGTCCTGCTCCCAATCTCTAGTATTAGCAAGCTTGCCTAACTCACTACTCTCTCAAGCTCCATCACCACCATCCTGTTGCCTGCCTATCTCTCCTACAAAGCTCTCCGAACCAACGATCCTGCTCAAATCCACCCGTGGCTGATCTACTTCACCATCCTCTCACTTGTCCTCCTCGCAGAATCATGGACCTACTTCATCCTTGGCTGGATCCCATTCTACAGCTGGTTCCGACTGATGTTCATGCTGTACCTGGTCCTGCCACAGACACAGGGTGCGAAGATCTTGTACCTGGACTACCTCGAACCCTACATTGTTGGACATGAGACACGAATCGATCAATTCATCGGGCAGGCCCATGATCGCCTACAACAATTGGGACTGGGCTACGTCAACCTCATTGTCGAGTACTTGCGTGAGAAAGTCCTCGGCCAGAAGAGCCCTCAGCCGCAACAGCCTCAGAATGCGAACTATGCCAGTTACGCTCAAGATCTGCTCTCCCGGTTTTCCATGCCCGGTGCACGGACAAGTACTCCCACTCAGCCAGGCATCACTTCTGCCGGCGTCTACGGCCTGGTCTCAACCTTCGCCGGCGCGGCTTTCTCCTCTTCCCAAACCACCTTGACATCATCCTCCCGATCTGCGGCCGCAGAGGCGTCGAGCATCCCCAACTCCCTGGCCCGTGACATCCCAGGTGGCTCCTCGGCGGAAAAATCCACCTACATCTCCTCGCAGCGTGATCGTCTGACCTCGTTGCTCCGGGCGCTGGACGCCGAGCAGCAGAATCTCGATCTTGCATATGGGACAGCACCTGGCCAGCGCGCTGCATCCGGCTCGGGCGGATTGAGAGCAAAATCACACAGCGAGCAGTCGTTTGAAAACGTCGACTACGACGATGCGACACACACCCCGGCGACCAGCTCCAGTTACGGTTCCACGCCTCCGAGACCTGTCACGGACACGCGCAGAAGTACCAGTGGAAACTGGGTGCCTTCCGGCGTCTCGGGTTGGTTTGGCGGCGATGGGCAGGCAGGGCCACACGAGAGGGATGATGATCACAATGATCGGAACCGAAACTCCAAGACATGGCAAATGGCACGCGACATGACAGAGGACATTGCCCGAGGAATGAGCAGTGGCGTAGACCCTCGAAGATAAGATTCACATTCGCATTCGTCGGTATGTGGACATTACCAGACTTTGATAGGCACTTAACGGAGTTTGTGACGGAAAGGAGTACGATGCAATGTGGATTGAACATGGGTTGAACACGGCCTCCCCAAAGGGAAAGGAACGTCCAAGTCAGGGTTGGGTTGGTATCATTTCAACGCAATTCAGGCGACGCTAAAGAAGCCAATTCTGTGCTTGGTCTGCAGGCTTGTTCAATACCTAGTAAATACAAAATAGTAAAATGCCGCCATATTCCAGGAAGACCATGTGTCGACGTGGTTCGTCCGCCCCGATCCAAAACGCACTCTTCTTTCCAAAACTCCGTGCTATCCCATAATTCATACTCGTCCGTCGTTTCCCTTCCACAAATAAGTGGGATGAGATCTCATATACATATATCCATGCATGCCGCGGTGAGATGCAGGTCTCTATGATACAACAGCGCCACCACCCAACGTTGATCGACTTCATCCGAAGAATGTAGACGGGATGTTGGCACCGGACCGTCGGCGGAGTGGATCTCCAGGTGCGACGGCGTCTCTCCTCTCGGTGCGTATTCTGAATCGCTCTCGGAATCTGCTGGTCAAACCGTGTCGTTCGGCTTCAGACGGTCCCTGCGAGCTGGATCCCAGTCTTTCCTGCCGCATCCGTCGGAGGGCGGCGATGCGCTCGTCTCGTGTTCCAGATGCAAGATGTCGCAGGTTGAATACAGTGTCTCTGCGGCTGCTACCTGTCTGGTTCGGTGGTGCGGCCACGCCCTCCGTCAGGGGCGGCGGAGGTAGCTGGCCATCCGGGCCTCCTGCCGCTGAAGAGCCGCGTCGCGATATTGTCCCTTCAGCGCCGTCGGCGGTTGGTGGTCTCAAGTCGATTCGACACAGTGGACACGTCCCGCTGACGTTCAGAAGCCACGGGTCCACGCAGTCCGGGTGGAATTTGTGGTTGCAGGGTAGTACGCGCAGTTCCTCACCTTTGTGGAAGTCCTCGGTGCAGATGGAGCAGCCGAGATGGCCTTCGGCGTCGGTGCCGTCGGGATTGTTGGCCGGCGTTACAGTTGGTGGAGCGTCGGTGCCATCGTCGGACTTGCCAGTGGCCGCCTCGATGCTTTTGTCTGCTGCTGCAACTGCGCCTGCACCTGTGACTACATCGGTGGTGGGGATTTGGTCTAGATTCGCCGGGGTGGACGGGGTGGCGTTGGCACCTTCGCCAGGAGCGTTCATTTCTATGTCGGTGCCGTCAACGGACTTCTTGGGCAAGTCTTGATGGTCGCCGAATTTGACGATTGGAAGGGTCTCCAGCATGGCGCGCGCAATGCCCTTGGCACGACTTTGACGACCTCGTCCAAGGATGTTTCTCGGACCATAACGCTCGGGGTGGCGGTGGGCTCGGATGGACCCGGTGATGATGATGACAACAAAGAGAGCGGTGATGATGCCGGTGATGGCGTAGAGGATGATCATGGCAACGGCTGTAGTGGGCGACTGGCCAAGAGTGCCATTTCCATTCCAACCGCTGTTTCGTGACGAGTTGGTATAGGAGTTCAGATCGGGAAGAATGGTTGCGGAACCTGGACTGTTTTGAGTGAGGTGGAGATCAGCCAGGCTCTTTGCCAGCATGGTGTCGGTGGTGGTCAGAATGCCACCAATTGTGGGGAGGTTGTTCAGGTCGGTCGCCACGCAATGATCACTTGTGACACTGTAGAGGATGATGATGTTGGTTCGGGGTGAGTTGATGACAATCCGGAACACATCGGTGGGACCAAGATTTCCCGTATACGCCTCTGGGTCGCAAGGGAGATATGTGAATTGATTGGCTTCGGGCATCTCATTGGCATTGCTGGGGTCCACATTGACAATTTGTCCCTCGACATGGATTTGTTCAAAGGCGTTGTGTGAAATCTCGGCATAGTGGCCCAGTGGTGCGAGCCGCACGACTGGGAGATTCCCCAGTTGAGTACCATTCAGGATGAAACGGGGCGAGGTGGCTGATGGGTAGAGGTCTTGAGTTCCGTTGGATGGTGCAATTGTCTGAGCGGTGATCTGCAATGACAAAGACAACCATATTGAGACAGCGAGCAACCATCTAGTACTGAGGTGGTCCATCATGATTCAAACCGATGTCTCGCCGACAATCCTCTGGCTGTAGAACTGTCTCTTTATCAGATTCCCGTCAGACTTGGTCGGGTGGGCGCCTGGACAACGGATATGGAGAGGAGACAGGGAGAGGTGAGAAGAATCTTATAATGCGATATAGTATATGGTGACTATCATGACCCGATAGGCAAGAAGACAGACTTGCGCAGCCTCGGACCAAGTGGGAAACCCGGTTGAAGAAATCGCTGCGAGGCGAGTACGCAACAGGCAGGACGGAGTAGGGAGCAATACGCGATTGGAGTACTCGGTCTGGCCACGAACAACTCGTACTGGAAGGTGTGAGTCGAGGACCCGAGGGGTGTGGAGGGTGTGGAGGGGTGATTTGGAAACGCAGTTGAGGCTGAGTCGCTTTAGCGACAGACAATGTTTCGTATTTGAAGGTCTTGTCGCAGACTCGGACTCACAGGCGAAAGCTGAAGCATCCGAGCGGAAGCCCGGAAAGAATTGACCAGGATTACAGTCAGCTTCAAGATGTCATGTACAGGAGGGAGGGAGGAGGGTGCATAAAGTCAGCTTGCCGACCCACTCGATCATCAGGATTATTCTAATTCCGAGGTTGAGATGTGCAACTTGGAATAAAGTACCAAGCAAATCCTGTGATGTGGGAAAGTCTTGGACTAGGCGGGGTAAAACAAAATGCATAGGGAAGTTCTGAGTCCCTCATATTCGATATTGCCAGTCCCGAGTACTCCGAGTGTGGGAGAAATTGCGCCTCGTACGTAGACCCCAATACCACTCGTAGGTGTTAGCCGAACTAGTGCATCGCAGGACATAAAGATTGCGATTGATCACGAATCACGACAATAACAATGACCCTGCTACACTCATCCTCCCCAGTGTTAGGCCTCACTTACTCAGAGAGGTCCAAGAAGGAGTCGATAGCGCTCGAGTCGGAAAGGCACCTCTCGACTAGTACTAATAACAGAGGCACTTGGAATGTTGAGGCTGATCCAAGGCGCAGAAGTATTTGAAATGCTTTAAGATCTTGGTATTTAGTATCGTCCCATCAACGACTGGGTGAACTCATTGTACACAACGTTCAGCACAATGGGTCTCCCTCGGTTTTTATTTTGTTCTAGTGGGTATCATAGCCGCTGCCACACAAGTCATCAAGTTCGTCCCGTGTGGGCTCTGGAGGCGCGGAAAGCTCTACATATTCATCAATAGCCTCTTCTGTTGTGCCTTGGAAGTGGAATGGTCTGTTAAAGCTTGAATTGCTGATGCTTGATAGATGCATTTACAATGGACACTCATGAGCGGGTTTTGTAAGCTGCAAACATCCAGTGGACCAGCCTGGGATCTGGTAAAGATACCATGGCATCTGTGCAATATAACCCAGTTATGCGAACGAGCTACTATAGCTCCCGAATCCCATGACAATCTACTCGTATGACACAATTTTCCGCGCATCGATAATCAAATTGTAAGACAAAGGGAAGTGATCGCGGTGTGCCTCAATAAGCGAGGGACCACAGCGTCAAGAACAAAGAGTTTAGCATTATCGGGAAAGTCCCTTCAGGGCTGAGGTACCTTATGTACCTGACCTACCTACAGTAAGTCCATGTATACAAATACTACCAAGGAGGAGCAGGAAAGACTCTTTTTGAGTAGAGAACAAAATATGACCCAAAGCAGTCCCCGAACGACCATTCTCATTCCATGCATAAGATTCCAGGTTGGTAAATCCTGACAAAACATGAGCATAAGCCATGATGCTTCGGAAGCAAGAAATCAATCGGATGATGCACAGACGCTCGAGAATCAGCAGTCATCCTCGGCCGTCCTCAGGTACGGATACTCCTGAGTCCTGACACCCCGGCCACAGTTTCTGGTCTCGCTTAACAGATGATCGCCGCAACATCGTCATGACTTCCAGAGCTTACTCGTACTTGCAGTCAGTCTGGAACGGACCTGGTATCCGATGCACCGGTCGAGACTGACTGCCTACTGATATTTCGCATTCAAGGGCCAAGGGAGTTCACCATCTAATCTATGGCCTCTTCAATGTGCGCATCCCTCAATACCAGATGGCCAAGGTTTGTCGTCAAAAAGCTTGAACAAAACTCTCCACAGGCCAGCCGTGCTTCATAATATCGATTAATCACCGACACCTCACAGCATCCACTGACGATCACGTCCTCCAATGTTGCAAGGCCTGGTGGAGCCTTGACTTCCTTCTCTCTACTTAAGATCACAGGGTCACTCCTCAATTGGTGTAATCGACTCGTGAGCTCCATTCACCCGTTGCCCAAATATGGACGAACCTGTCCGGGGCCCCAAAGGTTGGGGTCGCCTGTCAACGTGGATGGGGGTATTTCCCGAGACTCTGGATGTGGTCTTTGTCTCATCGCATACCGGAAAGCTTCCATGTCGTTCAAGATTAAGGAAGTCCCCCACAAAGCCAAATGTCGACGTGGTGGAGTCTACGTGGAGCTGTCATGGACGATCATGCATAAGTACCATGGTGTTCCTCCCCATCTTGTGACCCTGGGCTGGCAGTTCACGTATTCTTCAATCCAGCGCTAAATTACCAAGCTATCCACGGGCCAAAATATCATTGGTACAATCACATAGGCAGTATTGTCGTCATAACCAGCCAGCCATGTTGGAAGACAAAGAGCAGGGCGATGTCTCCAAGACGGAGGATGCGACAAACTTGCACGAGTTCAGAAACGCAGACGGCTACATCATCGACGGAAGCGACCCAGAGTATGCCAACCTGAAGCGTGCCCCAGATGGCCACACCATCCTCCTACCACAGCCATCCTCCGATCCCAATGACCCATTGAACTGGAGCAGGTTCAAGAAGCACCTCATTCTGATCATCATCTCCATGACTGCATTTCTGCCAGATTACGGAAGCGCAACTGGGGCCGTCACACTTTTGCCCCAAGCTGCCATCTGGAACATGACCCCAGACCACGTCAACCACAGTCAAGTTGGCAATGTATTCATGCTTGGAGCTGGTGGTGTGGTTGTGGTCGCATTGTCCGCCTACTTCGGTCGCCTTCCGGTCCTGTTCTACTTCCTCATACTTGCGACCGCCACTGCAATCTGGTGTGCCGCTGCACAATCCTTCGAGTCTTTTATGGCGGCGCGTATCTTGAATGGTTTCTTCAGCACTGTCGCACAGGGCGGTGGTCTGATGTTTATCTTTGATATGTTTTATTTCCACGAGAGAGCAAGAAAGATCAATATCTGGAGCTCCTTCATCATCCTGTCGCCATATTTTGGACCCTTGTTTGCTGCATTTATTATCAGCACACAGTCATGGCAGATTCCATTTTGGGTTTATGTTGCCGAGGTAGGTCAAGAACATCCACACGATAATTACTCCTGACGAAACTAACACATATACTCCAGACTGCTCTGTGCTTGGTGCTAGTGGTTCTCTTCGTGAAGGAGACGTACTATGATCGTCGCATTGCCCAGACCGACCAGCCACCGAGAGGATCACATTTTTCTCAACTTCTAGGAATATCCCAATGGCGCTCGCGCAAACTGCGAAACACGCTGGGCCAAGCTCTGATGCGACCAGTCTGGGTGGCCCTCAAGCCCACGGTCTTCATTTCATGCTTTTATTACCTCTTGACCTTTGCATGGGTGGTCGGCATTAACACCACACTGGCCATATTCCTTACACCACTGTACAACTTTGGTCCTAAGCAGATCGGGTTCTTTTACTTCACTCCCATCGTTGGTGCTCTTCTCGGTGAAGTTGTGGGCCATTGGCTGCATGACTTCATTGCCACAAATTATATCAAGACTCATGGAGGGCATTTTGAGCCCGAAGTCCGCCTGCGGGCCATGTGGGTGTCCACCCCATTCATGCTGGCCGGTCTCGTTGGACTCGGCTTTGCCCTCGAAGAGGGATACCACTATATGGTGACATCACTTTTCTGGGGTCTGTACGTCTTTGGCATCATGATCACCACTGTCGGCCTCAATGCATATAACCTCGACAGTTACCCCGAAGCTTCCGGGGAGGTTTCATCTTGGATCAACTTCTGCCGTACAACAGGTGGCTTCATTATATCCTATTTCCAGGTCACCTGGGCTCAGGCACAGGGAACTAAGACGAGTTTCGGCATTCAGGCGGCCATCTGTGGGTTTGCGTTCTTCCTAATCGTCGCCCTCCAATTGTTCGGCAAGAAACTCAGAATCAAGGCCGGCCCGTTGAACTTCCGCACTTCATAAGTGGAGAGTTTCGACAGATCCACAGATTCAATGGGTAAGCACATTCGGGTTGGTCCGTTATATACACAGTTACAAGAGCGTGTCATATATGATAAAGTCATCTTGAAATGATATCAGCTGCTGAAATTCCTTCTGCAATTGGGGAAAGCCCCGCTCTCATCTTCCTCTCCTGACGGCTTCGATCTTCGTCATGCTAGAGAATACCAACCAATGAAGGGATTACTTTCCCACTCAGTCATAGTACTTAGCTTTAAGGCCCTTCGCAATCGACTCATCGTCAGCAGCAGCCCTACTTACATTCTTCGCCACCCGCGCTTTCACCCACTCCCCGGCTGTCAAACCAACAGTAGATTGATCCAGTGAACGATCATAACCCAGCTTCTGCAGCACCGCGCTCTTGACAGGCAGGAGCTCCAAATCATCCTCCGGGCGGACAAAGTAAAGCACCCCGTGGCGATCGATGTTTGCTTGATCTGGTGGCGGCGCGACCACACGGTGAATACTGCTTTTCAGGAACCCGTTCGTCAGGAATTGCAGGGCATCCGCAATATTGACCGTGATACTGCCGTCGTAGGGCTTCACGTACTTCCATTTTCCCTCGGGTGTGCGTACTTGGAGAGCTGCTACAGGTTGGCTGGCGGAGACTCCTCATTAGCCGTTTAACATTCATTAATAAGGGAGGGCTCATGTACCGGAATAAAAGCGTCAGGCTCCCAAAGTCGGTATGTCCCTTGACCCATACATTGTCCAATGCGTCATTCTGTTCCGGGGTTCGCTTATGGTATTTCATCCATCGGAGATGATCGTCACTCTTCTTGTCGTACCGGTGGTTCTTCAGAAAATAATCTTCCGTCAATTCCAGGACGATCGCAAATAAAACTAATAACTTGCCCACTATCTGCGAATGGATGTGACGGGCGAAATGCTCGATCTCATCCCAGTGATCCTTGATGAGCTGCGGATGTTCACGGTCGTAATCAGGGATGAACTTGGGAACGTTGTAGATCTCGGTGTTATCCTTGATCCCTGGCTTAATGTCTCGTATCCCGAACGGTTTGTAGCCGTTGTACCCTCCATTTTCAAGATCGGCACGGTATTTCATCTTCTCTTCAGTCGAAAGCTCAAATACTTGCTTGCATAGACTGAACTGTCGATCAACCTGTTCTTGTGACAGGCCGAAGTTGGTGACATAGAAAAACCCTAGAACTTTGTGAGCATATTGACGTCGGAAATAGGCATTGGTAAGCCCAATTGCTCTCCTTGATCACAACCAACCGATTTTATTGACAGCATCAGAGAGTTGAACCGCCAACTTCTCTTTACCTCCGGGGTCATCGAAGGTGCCAAGATCTAACGTCACTAGATCGGCCCAGTCGACTTGTAAGATTAATGTTAGAGTTACAACTTGTTGTCGAGTGGGAGAACAATCATCTCTTACGGTCATGCGATGTTTCTTGGATATGTGTCCATTTTGGTATAGGTTTGAAATTCGTGGTCCACACCTCTCTGGCCATGACTTAGATGGAGAAATATGCTCAAACTGGTAGCCAGATCTGGAAAGCCAAATACGACCCGTTCCAAAGTTCCGGAATTAGCTCAACGTCCAAGATGTTTAAATTCTTGAGCAGAAGTCGCAAAAGAGGATCGATGAAGAATGAATGAAGACATTGCAAGTCTTGAAAACGGCCGACCAACGTACCACCCCATCTTGCGGGGTTGGATGAGATGATCAATTGTTGGAGAACACCTCCTGCAGACTGGTCCAGTTCTCGTCATCCTCGGCACAGGGTTTGGGACATTATGATGAACGCGAACGTTCAGCTTTTAGCGTTATCTGATCCCGTTTGATCAATCCCTCGTCTCCGACACGAGAAAACGACAACAGCGAACGTTCACGTTCAATCTCAAAAAATATGCGGCTGTGCCGTTTGGATAGGTAAACCCATGATAGAAGCACTATTGCTGTGATGGTAATCGTTAAAGTCCAGTATAACCAGATCCATTCCGACACCAGCTGCGTCGAATTTTCTGGCAAAAATCTGAAAAAGCCGGAGCCGAACATTGTTGCCATGAATGTTCCTGGGAGGAATATAAGAGTCACACCGGCTATGATTCGCATGTCGAGGCTGTCTTTCCTGGTGAGAACTGCCACTCGTCGCGAATCTTCTGCAATTTCACGAGATGCCGCGGCGGTTTCGATGTTGACCCGATTGTCTCTTTGGCCTATCATAGAGTACACCGTTTGTACTTGTGCTTTGGTCCTAGCTGAGAGCACAGTTCCATAGGCTTGTGAACCCTCGATCAGTTCACTGAGGTAGTCGATTCTCCTGCTTAGAGCACCAGTCATGCATGGATCTCCCGTTCCTGCTGTAGAGGCTTGGTTTCCGGCTCCAATTGCTGCTCTCATCTTGATTATGACCTCCAGTGCTCTCTTGCTGGAGCTGAAAGTCATGTCACAGAAGCTCAAGGTTCCTGTCACTCCCGTAAGCTTTTGAGTGATTGGGTCGAAATCCAGCATCTTGGCTTTTAATTTGCGATCATGGTCAAGTAGAGCAAGCTTCCGGGGATCGGTGCTAAAACCATGACGCATACCAGTCGAATGCTCGATGCCTTCAATACCAAGTGCTCTCTTCTCCAACAAGAGCGCGAAGAAATGAACCCTCAGTTCGATTAAGAAAACTGGCAATAGCAAGGGATCACGTATATGAATGCGGGACTCACGTAAGCACCATAGTAGCTTTTCGATTTCGTCGTGCTGCATGCCAGTGAGGATGCCACAGGTAATCCCCTTAGAAGGACAATGCACCAACCCCAGACAGAAATTCCAATCTCGTGATCTGCCAACCCTCAACATGAGACCCTTAAGTGGGCTGCCATCTACATCGGCAGCGTCAAAGGCAACAGCCAACGGCAAAGTACTCATAGCCATACGGAGGAGCTCAGACGGAAGGTGCCATGATTGGCAGATCGCGTTGTACGTAGATGAAGAAAATGGCAGCGGTAGGATTTCCGCATCGCTTTCGTGGTTTTCGGGTGCCCCGATGAGTAGTCGCAATGAGTGTCTTGGTATATCTTTTGTTAAGCTGGCGTTTGCCCACTCGACGATGGCAGATTCTTCGATCTCAAAGTCTTCAGACACATCTGGTTGTCCATCCTACCATAATGAGGATGAGAGGGATAGCAGCAGTAATGCCGGTGACATACCTCCGGACATCTTATCTCAATGCACCGATTTCCATGGCGAGAGGAAAAATTTCTGCGCGTAGTTAACAGGTTCTCGGAGTGGAAGTCCAACATTTCAGCGACCGATCGGGCATGAAAGACGCTGAGGTGGGGAAGATAGCGGCTTCAGTCCGAAGTCATGCGAGGTGACAGTGGGCGGAATCACACCAAGTCAAACTAGCAAGCAAATATTCGCATGGGGAAACCCATGGAACACGGTGAAATGAGACGGTTCAACTCCTCCAATCCAGCCTTGTTAACAGAAGTACAAAAAATGATACTTCACTGCCTTCTAACTAGCTTTGCATGCTTGACGACAGAGGAGGCCCCTGGGCTTGAGGTGGCCGTGCGGCCCTTGGCGGTGGCCGGACATGGGACTATGGGTTACACCTTTGAACTCAGATCAATGATGTTTAAGCTTAGATGATGACCTACTCAAGCATAGCATGCGAGCACCTCGCACGCTTGTCACGAACAATCGTCTTTCGAGAGCCACTTAATCTGAAATGGATAGCGGCGATATCAATCTTCTCACCCATGACGAGGTACCATTCAACGTAATGACGTGGTCGACTATTTGCAAGAAACCATACTACGGCCGTTTTGCTGCAGACTGTGGCCGACTTTGTCGCGGATTAATGCTCTCTTTGGGCCCGGATAGGTAGGTGTACAGTACGTGCCCCCCTCGGCCGTCAAGCCCTCGTCATAAGCCCTGCAAACGCGGAGAGCATAGAATTGAAAGCCCGACAAAGTAGGGCCCGAGCGGCTCTTGGGCCCTGAGAGCGAACCACCTCCAGGCATCAAATCAGATTGTGGGCGGATACTGGAGCAAAGATCCTCCGCTATGGAAGTAATTGACCAGGGGACATTGATAACTAAGCATGCCATCCATGCTTGACCTAGACATCAAACCTACCTAAACTTGATTGATGCTCTTCACCCTACGCCCCCAGTCGCTTGCGTGTGGTTGAACAAGCCACCATACGAAACTTGACCTCGTCTACTGAGCAGATGATGGACCGAACGACAGATAAAGGGCTGGACTGCCTGGGCGCTTCTCGACATTCCTCTTTCTCTCATAACCACGCCTAAGGCAAAAATAATAATTTGTTAGTTTCCTACTTTGATTTCGAGACAATGGCGAACCAAGCACCATCGACACACAAGGCCTGGCAATACACCAGCACAAGTGGCGGGCTCGAGAAAAACCTCAAACTCAACCCATTCGTACAGACCCCAACGCCCGCGCAAGACCAACACTTAGTGAAAATCATTGCTACAGCCCTGAATCCCATCGACTACAAGCCGGCCTCCATCCCATTCGTTGGTCGATTTCTACGCCCAAAATTCGCCACTCCTTGTTCTGACGTGGCAGGCAGGATCGTTACACCAGCGCGCGGTTCATCTTTGAAACCAGGACAACTTGTGTTTGGGGTTTCGGGCAAAAGCCCCATCGCTGGAGGCGGACTCTCCGAGTATGCTCTCTGTCAGCATGATCATGTTGTCGCAATACCTGAAGGAATTGAGCCCAAGAATGCGGCTTGTGTGCCCGTTGCAGCTTTGACGGCCTATCAAACTATTGTTCCAAAGGTGAAAAGCGGTGATAGGATCTTCATCAATGGCGGCTCGGGCGGGACTGGAATCTTTGGAATCCAGGTTGCAAAGGCAGTCGGCTGCTATGTCATCACGTCGTGTTCCACGCCGAATGTCGAACTTTGCAAGAGCCTAGGTGCTGATGAAGTCATTGACTATCGGAAGCAGAACGTGATCGACACACTCGCTGCAAAGGACGTCAAACTCGATCATCTGGTCGATAACGTCGGCGAGGATCCCAAGCTGTACTGGATGTCTCATAGGTTCACCAAGCCAGAAGCTGAATACATCATGGTTGGCGGTTGGATTTCTTTCACCAGCACGATAAATTTGCTGAAAATCAAATTCCTGCCCAAGTTTCTGGGTGGCGGGCAGCGAAAGTACTCGGGGTTCTTCACCAAGGCGAGCACACAGGACTTGAACCATGTTGCGGAGTGGATGGTTGCAGGAAAGGTCCGTGCAGTCATTGATCAGGAGTTTTCTTTTGAGCAGGCCCCGGCAGCATTCGAGAGGTTGAAGACGGGCAGGGCAAAGGGGAAGATTTTGATTTCTGTGAGCAGTGATTGATACCCATGAAAGCATGTTGGATGAGGGAGCGAGTCATAGTGTGATATCGGTGTTGTAAGCGATCACTGAATCAATTGGAAATAAGATTGCTTATAGGTTGATTCGCAGCAGCATTTACAAGATAACCTTTCACCGTAGCAATTCTACCTGGATACAAGGCCATGGCGTTCGGCATACATTCAAAATTGCCAGCGTCTGGACAACAGCAATGATCGTATCGTCGTCAAGGTATTCTTGATGTACTTCACGGCTTCGACCAACTAGTTGAGCTGCAGCCTGCCTTTGCTAGCGACGAAACAGTTCTAGGTGCGAAATCTTACAAGGGCCATTGTTGAGTGCTCGGTAGATCGCAAGCCCCGATAAGAAGCAGCAACAGAATGCCAACTGATGATCACCACCTACACGTCCCAAGTTAGTGATCAACCACAAAAGAGTGTTTCGCACGATCAACTTACCCAAAGGCCTCCTCGAAATATCCCACCCCTCTTCTACCTTGCTTCATCGCCGTATGGACCGCCGCTCTCGCCTCGTCCGCCATCCCGGCCGGGCCACACGTGAGAATCGCAACTCGTCCACCTGCCTTACCCGCAGAATCAACATCCTTAATGAAGCCGAGCACCTTTCCTCGAATATCAGGTCGACCGTACGCGATGTCTGGACTGACACCACTGTCTAGCCCATGGTGCTTCTCTGTGTTATCTCGCTCGATGGTTGCAACAGACTCACGTCGAGACGTGACGTAGAAATGTGTTTCGATGCCTGCGTGGTTGAGGAATGGCTTAAGCTCTGTGTCACAAAGGGAGCGGACCATGGCGGATTGCTTGGTTGCCCAGATAAGCAAGATACGCTTGGTGCGAGTGTGGGTTTTGCGCTCCTCAATTGTTTCTCCGTCTGAGGGTGTTTGACTTTGGTATAAATTCGTTGCTAGCACGAATTCTTGGAGGTAAGGGATAGCACCGCTGATGCCGCTGCCACCTACAATGAACACTACATTTTCATAGCTATGCACCGGGCTATGCTCGCCATAAGGTCCTTCGAGGAGGACATGAGTTTCCACTGTTGATGAGGGCGATTTAATGCATTGGTCTCGCAAGCGCAGAGTCCAGCTGCTGTATGGACGGACGAAGAACAACAGTGTATCTTTGGACGATGTTGTGGATTTATGAATGAGTTGTTGTTCTGTGGCAGGCTGCCCATGGATAGATGCAATGGATGCATCTTCAGAGGAAGGTCCACTTGATGAACTTGGTGTGTCCATCGCTGCAACCTGGATCTCCTTGTCTTTTCCTTTCTTGAGATCATATGAGGTAGAGGACGACACGTCTTGCGGTAGAGCTGGATTTGTGCTATAGGCAGGATGATCACTGCTTTTCCACCCAGCGAGAGTGAACGGATGGTTCTCCCAACCCTTCCACTTCAGGGGTTGGTATAAATAGTAGTGTTGACCTGCTCTTGCTTCCAGGATTTTCGTCCCTGGGGTTACTTCCAATCGTATTAGGTTGGATGCCTGGTCATAATGGGCGTGCGTTTTCGTCCCGATTACTCTGTCGGATAACTTCAGATGAAGATTGCAATAGGCAAGACGAACGAAACGGGCGACACGGTCGAATACCCAGATAGCCACAAGTGGCCATAGGTATGGATCGTATTCTCCATCGAAAATCTTGGTGTGGCTGGGTGTGAAGTCAGTTAGATGCCGAGACTGCTTAACTAGTTGAGCACTGAGGGAATACTTACTAGAACAGCCCAATGATGGTGACTATTGATAAAGCAATGTGGATCAGAAGGAAGAGTTCGTAGAAGCGTTTCCTGAGCCACACCGATGAGAAAACCAGTAATAGACTCATGGTAATGGTTGCCTTTTAAGAATGAGTCAAAGTAGACGATGGCAGCAAGCTTTCAGCTACTTACCAAGGCGCCCATGTACCAGTATTGCTCTTTCCAGGATTCAGCGTAATCTTCATTAGGGGCACATTAGCTTCTGATACTCGACGGACTAGCAGTCTGACTCACAATCGGCCTCAAGAGCCGAATAACAGATCGAGTGGATAATGGCTTGGACGGTAGCGATTCGTGCAACGTGGCGATGGAAGATATTGAAGGTCGAAAAACTCCACCCAGTGAGCCAGAGGAAGATGTTGTTCCTGCCTGAAAACATCCATAGAATCGGTAGATTGGCATAGCTGATTATGCCAGTCCGGTCCGCAATATAGCGCCAATACTGTGACGCATTCGTGTAGCTAGGTTTGAGGTGAGCTCACCTAAGTGGAACTGCATGAACGCGGGGACTTACTAGAGGTTGGGCCAGAAAATATCATATGTCACAGCACATAGGATCACGTTGAGAACCCAGAATGCTGCCACCACCAAGGTCTCCATACGGGTGGGTATAGTGCACCAGTAGTAGAGGCGTTGGTGGTGGGTTCCAAATGCAGCTGGAACAATCAAGTTGGTTTGTAACCAGTGGTAGACAGAGGCGAAAGGTCCGGAGGATGACTTCGAAATGGGTGACGCTTCATGACCTTCAACATCAACTGGAGTCGACACCCGTCGTGAAGTGAAGATGTGAGATATAAATCGATTGGCCATGCCCACTACGAGCAGAATTCCCCAGAATCCGTATACTCCCCATCTGCTCAAATAATCAGTAGGTGCCCGGCCTTCTTCATGCTTGATTGCGGTCGCCAAACTTACCCGTATCTCGAATCAAGCAGATAACTTAGTGTAAAGACGCTCTGTGGGTTGATTAGGCTACATATTTCAGCATCGCCGCAGGATGACATACAACTGTTCTTTTCGAAGCTGTAAACAGCTCTTTGGACAGGAGGACAGAGTGGTTCCATATAACGGCGGCGCCGACATCATCAAATTCCACAAGTGGTAGGGTGTTGATATATTGATCGGTAAGAATGGGCAGTATATCGTTGTATGGAGTGAGGGTGACAAATCCATATTCTGTGCAGTACCCCGAGAGCATCTCTTCACCAGCGACACGCTCACGGTCAGTACAGTACACCTTTGTAGACGCCCACATCGACGTTACACTCAGGTTGTTGGTGCAGATATTTCCCCAATAGTCTTCAGGATCAGTCCCATCGAACGAAATCCCGGCGATGGCTGTCCGGATACCATCGATACAGTTGATGTCTGGGCTCTCTGCTATCGCCCATCTCAAGAACAGTGAGCATAGAAGGAGGGGAAATGTCACCTTCATCATGAGAGGAAGTGGGAGGGGCCAGAGCTTGAATACAGACCTCTACCAAACAAATGAAAGAGCATCCAGGCGAATGATATACCTTGTAGAACCTGGGAGGGAAAATCAGATTTAGTATTCCGAGGACAAAGGGTTCGTCCTTGTAGGATATCGCCGGACACGGATACCCGATTTGCCTAGGATGAGAACAAAGAAAATTTTGTATGGCTCGGCACCAGAGCTTCGTGATCCATGATAGCACAAATGAGCGAGGACGATCAGATCAGACCAGCACGGCAAGGGTAACTTGTTAGCAAATGTGGATACCATAGAGAGATGTTGCGGCCTAAGAGCCTTAGGTTGAGAGGTCCGCTTCCGTTGACCCAAACGGTAGTTCATCCTTTCTTGTGGAAACCCATACATGTTGACCCGTTCTGAGTTTACTGATGATATGGGAATTGCTCCATACGCTGGGAGCGCGAGCGCCTGCAAGAAAGGTGTGATACGAACAGATGATGTCCTGCAGAACAAGCTTGCCAGGGCCATTCAAGCTCACCAAGCATGCTTGTCCAGAGCCAAGGAACGCAAAGCTCTGCCCTACTATGTTGAGTAGAATGCCATGACCCAGTAGTTGTCTAGCCTTGATCCACGGTTCCGCCCAAGCCAGGGTATATCTAGAGACATCCTTTGGCATCCCGCTTGCTGCGAAGCTAAGAATGGGAAGAGAGTTTGGTCTTGTCAACGCCAGTGAGAGAGCGGATGGGTGTTAGTGATGCTGAGTTTCACGAGGATGAGAAACCCTATGTGAGGACATTGTAGCTCGACATTGGATTAGGTCAGTCCACTTTACACTTCTGACGTTGAGTTTGTGTAACGCGGTAAGTTCCCAGTAGTTGTGGGATGAAAGCAACCATCTATTGGCGAAAGAACAAATCATGAGTAACCAAAACACGCTCGAGCCACAAGATGATTAGATCTGATTAGTTGATCTTATCTTATCCATCTGATAAGCTTTACTGCGGATCCTTTGTCCGGTCCTTACATACAGTAGTCTGATGCTGTATTTCGTGCTCTGCATCGATTGTGAGAAATTTTTCCCATCCGATCTCGCATTCACCTCAATGAGCGCCACAAAGTCTAGGCCTATGAGCTCTGCGAATGTTGCCATTTTCTTGCAGTGATGAGTTCTCCCACGTCTGCAATACGAGCAAAGTAGCACTTGGGCCAGGAAAGACAAATTGTGTGTCATTGGGTTCGACTCGAGGGCTGCAGATCTATTCTCGACCGATATCGGGGCATATGCTACTGCACCAAAGGGTTGTGCTATGCAGAGACGAAGGTTAGCGTTCTGGAGGATGCCGGTTTGATTCACATTCATCGGCATGATCTTGGGCTTTCGTTGTGATGGATTAACAGAATCTATTTTCAATTGTAGCCCAAAAACTTGCAACGGCAAGCGTAGCCTTTGCCCAACAATCGAATGCATTCCAGAGCCAGGATCCATGCTCGGCTGTCTTAACAGATCAAGAACTACCACGGTGGACTCAAGGTTAAGGGTTACCTGGTAGGTCGATATCAACCCTGAGGCCAGGCCTGGTATCTGATCACAGGTGGGTTCACAGTGCCATGGATTGTTCGCGTGTGCGAAGATATGCCATACCTGTCATGCGTGGCTCGGTTGCGCAGGCTCGAACAAGATATCTAGACTAGGAAGTCAGATGGCCAGTGGAGAACCCAGCAGGAGAACAGGCTTTTTCGAAGCTATCTACCATCTGCCATCTAACCGGTGGCCTCCGATCGTCAATAAAAATCTCGCAGCGTTCAGAAAGCTCTGACAGACTTCGTGTATCCCATTTCACGTGGTACAATATCAATTGCTGAATTCTCATCAGTGGGCGAGGGAGGCCTAGTCGTGCCACAGTTGGCCAACTCATTCTGATCATTTCTCGGAGACGTCCGGGTAATACTGGGGAGCTTCCCTTCGATCGAACATGCCGTAGTCTCGAATGATACGAATTTGACGCATCCGCTGCCCATCCGAAACCCCCTGCAAGGACTCGGTGGCGGTCTTCTCATCAATCCAAGAGCAAAGAATCAACATGTCTCCAGGTGTCAAGATGGCTTCGAAGACATCCCACGCCACTAAACCTTTGCAGCTCGTCGTGTGGATGCCTAGTGCTTCTACCACCTCATAGGCAGAAATTCTGCCCTGGCCCTCAGGAGTTTTAAAGGTCGCGTTTATGAGGCTAACAGTTTTAGCCTCACCTACCTCGGTTTCGTCAAATCTTTCTTGCTTCGTGGAATTCTGAACACCGCTTGAGCTCTGCAGCTTCGTGTCGGAAGTGACCTGACCCACACGAAGATGATAATCTTCCAGGATCTCATGTCTCCCGGCTTTTTGAGCATGGTGGTGCTTCATTTGGGTTCGCCATCGAATCAGCGCTTTCTCATTGTCCCAGTCGGATAATGAGAGCACCCAACCAGGACGTGTCAAGCTTTTGTACCGCACATTCTCGATGAACCCTTTCTGAGACTCCAACAGGGGCCGCAATCCTCCCGCAGTAGAGAGGTAGAGCTCCCAATTCTCCGAGCGGGGATAGACCTCGAATATGACTTCGAACATTTTGGCCACTCACTTGCCTGATTCGTTCACTTCAACCCTTGTTTGCACAGTGTAAGCGCGACAGTGTTTTGTATTTGATCGAGGTGGTGCCCCGGAAGACTTGTCGCCTTCATGTCCTAGCGAGTTCGACTTTTCGAGATGAGTCGTTGTGAGAAACGCCAAGGAATGGAGTACCAATTAACAACAACTGATGCTTGGTTAGGACGATGATGATTGGTCATATCAAAAGCAACGGGGAAATGCCCAGTTCAATTTCTGGGACATATATTTGCAGGCTGAGGATGTAGAGATGTTCCCTCAAGGAATGCTGTCTGTGAAAAATCTGAAGGTCGGATTCTGGTAGCCATGTTGCTGAGAAACATAATTGGTAGAGGAGATTCGAATTGGAGGCCGCCATCACCTAACAGGAGGTTCGAGCTCGTTGACAAAGAAGTCGCTGGGAAAAAGCGGAAACATATCAGTGCATAATAACATGCATTCTAAACTCCAACTCTATTCATTACAAATACATCAATCCAACCCACCTTGGAGAGAACTCGGGGAGTCAATTCCAGAGGTTGTGATTCAGCATAGCTGCTCGCTCCAAATACTTGAATTCGTGGACTCGTCCTGGGAACTTCATACGTCGTCCAAACCAAGTTCCTCCTTGTTCCTTGAGAACCATAAATGAAACAAACGAGTAGTGGACTGGCTACGACTTGTTGGCGCTGTACTTTGCCTTACCGATTGAGAAAGGAACGTATCGATATTTGATCATGTGCTGAATTTGCCGTCTCACTGCAAAATGGGTTAGCGAGCCTCATCAAAAAAGGCTGCCAGGAGTATGTCTTACTCGTCAAGGAAAACAGAATCAGCCAGTACATGACCAGAACGGGCCAGAACACGGGCAGGTTGAAAATCTCGAACCAACTGCATACAAAGCTGATGGTGATGGCCCGTGTCGCCGAGTGCCAGAACTTGAACTCGGGTAGTCTTCTGATGAAGGGGCGAAATTCATCGTCCTGCTTGGTGGGTAGAGCAGACTCGCCATCTTCCAATCCTTCATCCTGGGTTAAGCTAGGGTCGAACTTGGGTTGCAGAAAAGCGAGGAAGAGATTGAGCAGGTATATTCCGAGGCAGTAGGCGACGATGTACCAGCCCTGGGCAAATACTATGCGCAGGAAGAAGAGAAGGAGCAGTGTGCCGGTCGCGATCCAACGATAGGGTGTATAAGGGGTGGATTTATCGAGATAGGCTTGATATTGCTGGGGGAGGAAGTTAGCCAAGTCGCGTCTAGTCATGCTGCAATGAATCGAGTCAACATACGCGTGCCAATCGATTGCTCTGAGTGGTAATAGCATCGAAGGGGGTAGATTCAGGCTCGGGTCCGTCCATTGCGGCGTGGTTTAGGGGAAGTGTGGTCGAAATGTAAGGTCTGCGCATGCGCAAGGAACTGAGGTCTGCGAGCAACAGATGTCCGATCAATGTGGTATTAATCGGGGAGTAGCGACGGCGTTAGAGATGGACAAAGTCGACAGTCGTTGTTGAGCAGTGGCACCGACGAGATGGCAAACAGAATTGTTGAAGCCACGTCTTGCTTTTTGGGCGCAGGCCAGACAAATTTCCCTTCCGAGTCTGGGTGGCGGGTGAAATAATGAGGATGGATTTGATTCGAGGAGAAAGATACCAGCCACGTGCACATATGGCCCAGGATGCTGTGCCTCAACAATAATAATGTTGCGGATAATAACTGATGTCCATCGTTTTTGTGCCGTGTGGATGCTTCGATGCGCATCTTGAACTGCGCCTCTCGAGGGATGGTTCACGTGAGAACGCCCAGACAGAACGCACGTGATCTCTTGGCCCGGTCGATAGTACATCCGCTCCGGTCGGTCCGGCAGGTCCGGAAGAACTGATGATCCATTGTTGAAAGCCGAGTTGTAAGCGAATGACGGACGGAAAGACAACCGGGACCGAGGATCAAAGTAAGCGGTTGTTCACGGTGTTTGGATTGCGAGCTCCAATTGAAGCATTGTTGCCAACCACCAACACAAAGTTATGTGAAAGACAACTGCGTGAAAGGTCTTAAGCGACCTATTTATCTGTCAACACTATATCTCATCCCGCCATGTCGCTGCTACGTCTCTTCTCTCGTCCTGCCCTCAGCGTGTCGTCTCGCGCTACCATGTCTGCCCCACGATCGGCTCTTCAGGTGGTCCGTCATCAATCAACAGAAAGCAGCTATACAAACATCTTGGTCTCGAACCCTAGACCGGGCGTGGGCTTGAGTAAGTCTCTTCGCAGATAATAAACCCCCCAAGATTGCGCTGACCTCAGTGTGCTTCTGTGCCTGCAGTTACCCTCAACCGACCCAAAGCCCTAAATGCCCTGTCCAGTGAACTTTTTGTCGAATTGAACAAGGCACTCAAAGACTATGAAGATGACAAGGAAATCGGCGCCATTGTGCTGACTGGAAGTGACAAGGCATTTGCTGGTACGATCTCAGGATCACAACACCTACAGAGAATGCTAATTCGTTTGCAGCCGGTGCCGACATTAAAGAAATGGCGCCATTGACCTTTTCCGAGGCCTACGTGAATAACTTTATTGCTCCGTGGTCCTACATAACAACCCTCCGCAAGCCCGTCATTGCAGCCGTCTCAGGTCATGCTTTAGGAGGTGGTTGCGAGCTGGCCATGATGTGTGACATCCTTTACTGCACAAAGACGGCCAACTTTGGTCAGCCCGAGATCAAACTTGGCACCATACCCGGCGCCGGTGGTTCTCAGAGATTGACCGCTGCCCTGGGTAAGTCCAAGGCCATGGAGCTCATCCTCACAGGTAACAATCTTTCCGGTGAGGAGGCCGAGAAACATGGCCTTGCGGCAAAAGCGTTCGAGGGAGGCAATAAAGAGGTTCTCGAAGGAGCTCTCGACACAGCAGCCAAAATTGCCAGCTACTCTCGGGTAGCCGTGATCGCTGCCAAGGAGGTCGTCAACAAGTCTCAAGACCTCGGAGTCCGTGAGGGCGTCGAGTATGAAAGGCGGATATTCCACAGCCTGTTTGGCAGTCAGGATCAGAAGATCGGCATGAAAGCCTTTGCAGAGAAAAAGAAACCAACTTGGAGTCATCTATAGACATATAGAAGAACAGTCTTCCTGTACAATTAACTTGACTTTGGCCAACGGGGGCTTTCTGGACGCATGCATGTTTCGAGGTCCACGACCAGCCGTACGAGAGTGGCTGCACTTCTTTTCTTCTGTGGCAAACACCCGATCAAGATTGGTAACTGTTTGCTCGGTGTCTCAACCTCTTTCACGTTTGACTACAGGTTACCCAGATTCACTATCTCGTATTGACCGGTGCTACTTCCCTCACACGATGATGATAGAGGATCATACATGCACAGCTAGGTGGCATTACAGACATTCAACCAAGACTGATCTCATCATCACTGCTTCTGTCACGGTCAGTAGAACCTTGTCTCATGCTCTCTGACGCCCAGCACTGTCCAAACTCGGCTCTAGCGGGTAAATGATGTTAGTCAACACTGATCGAGTGGGCTTAACCTGGAGTAAGCACGGGTAAATATGCTTTTTCAGGGATGGCCCTGCAAGGCTACGGTTGTCATTCTTCGATTCTTGCCCCCACGTTTCCAGTATCGGCCTTCGGAATGATTTCTCGCTCTTGGTCAAGAGAACAGACCGGCATTTACTACATTGGGGTTGAACGATTAGCTTGATGCCCAAGTTGGCAACTTGCTCGTCTCACACTTCAACTTTCCAGGTACCACAATTTATCAGTATCGCCAATCATCGACAAGGTGAAACGTGTTAGCATGAGTATGTCATCCAAAGGTTTGCAATTTATTAGCTCAAGCTGACCCGAAACCCCGATTGATTTGCTGCAACGATAGGATCCCCGCTTGCTATACGTATACGCGAGAACGGGTCTCACTTGAATAAAAACTTGTGAGATGTAAATGGATATCTCCCAAGAGAGTTAATTTCCACGCATATTCCGCAATGAGAGACCTTAGGGCCTTCACACCGCCACCAGTACTTTGCCACCCTATTGCATTGGACACAGGCGCTGTGAAATGTCCAATATTGCTTGGTGGCAGGTTTCTTCAGCTCCATCGTGCTCGATGAAGATATAGCTGGGCGTTGCTTGTGAGCCGGGGCCCGTTGTAATGAACAAGGTCCGTTTAAAAGCTTGATGAACAATGTCGGTCGTCCAACGACAGGGCCCGTTCAGCGAGTGAATCAAGCACCCTTGTTTGCACACCACCATGAACCTTGGCAGCCCACTCACATACTACGAGTAACTACGACTTCGTCACACGCGCTCCCTTCGAGTACCAGTTGCAACCAGACAGCACTGATGTGTCCGGCAGGTCGGTGCTAGCATGCTCCAATCTTACGTTCATGGTTCACCTCTACGGTTTATTCCACAGACGTCGGTGGCCATTCAAAGGAGGACTCGGCTCAAGAACTGTTGTTCGAAAGAGACAATGCCCGAACCTTCAAGGCAGTCGCTCGAAGTCTGTAATGGAAGGAAAAGCCTACCATGACACACTCAATAACACGACGCTAGTGGCAATCGAACAGTATACCAGACTGAGCGACAACAGACGTTTCGTCGGACCAATCCCCATACGGAGAACCAGAAGGAATGACCCGGATAGAAACACTTACGCGTGCGAAGTCATCTTTGCTAGTGCATGGGGATTTCATCTGCCGCGCCACCACCCACTTGCCAGCAGATATCGCTGCAGACGATCGACCGCTACTGGTGACTGACAGAACGAAGTATGCTGTTCGATGTGACGCTAACTCCGCCCCTGATCCCCATCTGACACAGACATGTCTACCTGAAGAGTGATTAGGCTTCAGCTCTGCTGACATGAATGCATGCTCCCAGATCGTAGGGAGTCTGATATGCAGGTGGTGGAATACATATATACCGTTATGTGCTCAGCAATGCACGTTCCGACCCAAGAAGCGATCTGGCAGCCCTGAATCAACAGCATAGGTCTTTCAATAACCAAACAATCACTCTTCTCAATCATCAATTTCCTTTTCCAGCATGGCAGACTATGCACCCGAACGCATCGAAGATCGACTCTTCATCAACGGAGAGTTCGTACCATCCATCTCTGGCAAAAAATTCGATCTATACAATCCCGCCACCGAGAAGCTTGCCGCTTCAGTGTATGAAGCTGGTGTCGAAGATGTGGACGTTGCTGTCAAGGCCGCAAAGGCCGCTTTCCCAGCATGGGCTGCTCTCAGTGCAGCCGAGCGAGCTGGATATTTGAATAAACTGGCCGATGCCATGGAGGCAAATATCGACGAGATCGGTTATCTCGAGGCTATCACTATGGGAAAGCCATATGTGGGTGATTGTGAGTGTTGTCCCAGCCAGATCAGCGGGCCCTCTTGTCCCATCCGACCACTACCTGCATGAACGATGCCGTGATGATTAGTACTGACACCTCCCCCTTTTCCCTATAGTCATGGGTCGTCTCGGCGTCCAGATCCTCCGGTTCTACGCCAACAAGGCTCAAGACGTACAAGGTGACACATCGCTTAATACCGCCGGGTCCGTCAACCTAACCTTCCGACAACCGTTCGGAGTCTGCGCAGCTATTATCCCATGGAACGTCCCTCTCCTCATGCTCATCAACAAAGTGGGACCCGCCCTGGCCACCGGAAACACTCTCGTTCTCAAGTCATCTGAGAAGTCTCCCTTATCGTCCCTTGTTGTCGGCCGCCTCGCCCAAGAAATCGGCCTGCCCAAAGGCGTCCTCAATATCCTCAGTGGCTTTGGGCGACCCACTGGCGAAGCCCTCGCGAAACACATGGACATCCGTAAGATATCATTCACGGGATCCGTGATCGCCGGGCGAGCGATCAAAAAGGCCGCCGCGGAGTCGAACCTCAAGAACGTAACGCTCGAGCTCGGTGGGAAATCCCCACTCATTGTCTTCGACGACGCCGACCTGGCCAAAGCAATCCCGGCGTCCGCGTTCTCCATCCTCGCCAACTCAGGGCAGGCCTGCATCGCCAGCTCACGCGTCTACGTGCACGAGAAGATCGCGCCGGCATTCATCGAGGGCATGAAAACTGCCATGACGCAGATGGGCAAGGCTGGCAATCCACTCGTCGCCGGCACGCAGCGTGGGCCTCAAGCCGACAAGATCCAGTTCGACCGCGTGATGTCGTTCTTGCAGAAGGCCAAGGACGAGAAACTCTCCGTTGCCCTGGGAGGTGACCGTGTCGGTGCCGAGGGAGAAGGATACTATATCGAACCGACCATCCTGGCAAACGTGCCCGAGGACTCGAGCGTCATGAAAGAAGAAATCTTCGGACCCGTGGTGTGCATCAACACCTTTACCGACGAGGACGAAGTGCTCCGCCGCGCCAACGACACCGAGTATGGTCTGTATGCATCGGTCTTCACCAAGGATATCTCGCGTGCACTGCGTGTGGCTAAGGCGCTGGAAGCCGGGAGCGTTGGTGTCAATTGCACAAGTCCGACCATGGCGATTGATTTGCCTTTTGGTGGCTGGAAGCAGAGTGGCGACGGAAGGGAGCTGAGTAAGTATGCCACGGATTACTGGACAGAATTGAAGAGTGTCTTCATTGCTCTTTGAACCATGACGCTGGGGTCATACATAGATAATCACAACAATGTTTTAAGCCATGAAAATTAACAACTCTTCGTCTGATAAAGTTGTCGAATTTCATCTGGATGGTTGTGAATTTGAAATTGCGCGTTCAGACAGGCATCCAACAAAGCGTATATTTGTTCATCCCACGCGTACAACCTTAGGTTCTTCTTGCCTGCAAGATCGTGGCGAGGGGCTCAATGGCATCCAGATCCGGTCAACGTTGATGGACGATTCTATCCAGTACCTGGCCCAGTTGAAGAATTTCGTGAAGCGTAGGGGATCTTATGCCCGTATACTCGGTATAGATCCTGCTGCATTAAGTACAAGGGAAGCTGGACAACAGCTGGTGGCGCTTTTTTACGCAAAACGGCTGCTGTGGCAGAAGATGGTTGGGGCGGAGGGCGATCGAGTCTATTGTGATTTTCGAGTAGGCAAATATCCGTGGTTTAGCCGCCGCATCACACCGCCATATGGCATTTTTGGTAGGCAGACAGGATTGCTTCGTACAGGGCCAAATCCTCATCAAATTTAGTCGTTGTTGCTTGTAATCGATAGAGAATTCTCTATTTAGTATGGAAACGCGTCCTTCTCGTACCAAAACGCCGTCGCGGCGACTCCAGGAGGTGCGAAATGAATTGGGTGACAATATCACCACTTTTTCGAGTATTGCGGCGAGGAGCACCTCAATCGATAGGTTGAGGATCAATAACTGTCGTAATAATGCCAGGAAGTCCTTATTATTAGCTCCTACGCGTGTAAATACCGCTAAAAAGCCTATACGATTAATCCTAGGTCCACTAAAATACCAACTAAAAAGACTTAAATTGACCTATACCTCTTCCCGATCTACTTCTACCGCCGCAACGCCTATAGGGTCTCTTTCTAGTGGTGAATCGTTATATGATAAGGAGGAGGAGGAGGATCCTATACGACTAAGTATTAAGGCGAAGGAGGCGTAGTAAGAGGAGAATAACGCGATATTTACTTTACGAGAATAGTACTTTAGTGTAGGTGAATTGGTACGCGTCGCGCTATTATATACTAACTAAATAAAACTATGGGAACTTAGTGATAATAATAAATCGTTAAATGAGGTCCTAAGCTCACTAGGACTCTCTACGTAAAGAGAGGTGATTAGTAAAAGGGCTAGTAAAAAGCGGAAAATTACGAAATTATTATAGGATATCTCACTAACTCTAGAATATGACGAGAATACCTATCCCATAGAGATTTCTATAAACACTTATATCGGCAAGGTATTGTAGTATAGCGCCGATATCGCGGCGACCTATTGGTTATAAATATCATGAACGTCGATTCAGACAACCCCCAAACCAAACAAACAAGCCAAGACCCGAGAACCTAGTTCAGTAGAAGGCTTACCGCACGCTCACCGCATAAGGAGAGCTTCCCTCCTCTCTATGCTTTGAGTCTTAGTTAAGACACACGTCAAGGAACAATCTATAACCCATTGAACTACCCTAATCGTCGTACTCTACCTATCTATATAGGTCCGTTCCTAACATTCTCAAAGCATCTACTCTAGGTCGGTCGGAGTAGACGATTACCTAGCGTATCGCAGGCGATACGATAGCCCCAAAGAGAGCCGCGAGAGAACCAACTACTAGGCCGTCCCGAGCCCAAATACCACCCCTTGAGCAACTTATATCTCTATCCTCAACAGAACCGCTCCCGAGTCGCGTGCGAACCCCGTCGCACGATGAGGACGAGGAAGAAGATGAAGATGAAGAGGAAGATAGGGGAACGTAGTTAGACCCAACGGAAGCCGCGCGCGAACCGCATGAGCTTCCAACAATAGAACAATAAATTCAAGATCTAGAAAGACAACATACTGCTCTAAACGCACAACTAAAGTTGATGCGCCTACAGCACGAGGTGAAAGCGATACAGCAGGAGATGGCTAGGGGAGATCTAGACATCTTTATACCTATCGTAGGTACATCGCTATCGACTCGCAAGCGACCCCTAAGCAATTCGTTCGAGAAAGATCGGGAAGAGCTTTAGAAGGTGCTTCGCACCGTGAAACCTATCAAATTTATAAGTAAATTAATGCAACAGATGCACAACTTTAATAGTACTTGGCAAACAATTTTCGAGTCAATTTCCTATATAACTAAACCTAACTAGCCGCAACGCGTACGGACCGCAGCGAACTATCTCGAGAGTCGCGCCCAAGATGAGTGGCGTCGCGATAGAAGAGAAGGTGTACCAACTCTCGCTACATAGGAAGAGTTCATCTCATGGTGTAAGGACACTATTAAAGATTCTAATGTTCGAAAAGGATACGCGTTAGTGAAACATGCGGCACTCATAGGAACCGTAGATCAGTCGCCACGAGATTTGGTGCATCAACTAGAGTTACTAGAGTAAGAGATTAGTGTTCTAACTAAAGATGAACAAAAGGGGTGGACCCTATTTCATAAGCTGTCGGCTCGCCTATGTGACACCGTACGACGAGATCTTCAGATAATTACGTCTCGAGCACAAGTTTTGGCTTTTACTACTCGCCTTCACTCGACAGTCTTTAGCAATATCTAAAAAGAAACATCAACAACTCGTAGTCGGTTTACGCGCGAGACGCGTGAGGTTCGCTCCCTACCGGCGCAACCTAACTCGTTAGATAAGGGCAAAGGGCCCGCTCAAAAATCATATACGCATACCGCAAGAGAGACGCATATAAAAGACACTTAAGACGACCCCTCGCCGGCTAAGAGAGCTCGATAGGGCGAGTTATACTCATTTAAAGGAGACTATTTTCGCTACGAAAAAAAGGGTTATAGAGAAAAAGACTACACCGACAGCAAACCCTCTACCTTTGCCGGTACGCAGGTAAATCGTACGGGTACCGAAGGCAAGAAGCCTTAAGAGGGTAAGTCAAAAAACTAGCACCTAGCCTATTAAGTGCTATAGTAGCGCTAGGCCTCAATTATAAGCTACTTCTATAGACAAAAGCAGGGCGAAAGTAGCTAAATAAATAAGTACTAGTGATGGAAACGGAAATCTCGTCGCTATAAGGACCGCGGAAGATACGTACGCTCCTCGACAGCGGGGCGCAGATAAGCTTCATTTCCTACTTACTAGCTATCGAGCTCGGACTATTACGCGAGATGAATACGGTACGAGTGCGTACTATAGGCGGATAAGCCCTAGAGACCTATAGGAAATATTAGGCCGATATTTCTACATGTGACAAGCAAGGAGAGACTAGGACTCGAAGATATCAATTTATTACTACAAGAATTGTGGAATATAATGCAGTTCTAGGTTTCGATTAGCTAGAAGAGGTGAATCCTAATATAGACTAGGTTATAGGCGCGTAGCGCTATCGTAACGCACGCGAACCGTAGGTATCAGTAGTTAGCCTTGAATAATTGAAAAGAGACGCTAATAGTGGTATCATTAGAATATTGTAGCTTCTCCCTAGCCCCATAATTACAACCGGAAGCGGGCCTATAGCGCTTGTATCCCTTATGGAAGACGCACGCTTACCGCCGCAATTCGAGAAATTTACCTTAGTCTTTAAAGATCCTAGAGATAAGCCTTTCCCAATAGAGATAAAGACAAAATATACTATCAAGCTACTAGAGGGAGAAATAGCTCCCTACGGACCCATATACTCTTTGAGTGCGAAAGAGCTACGGGTCCTACGCGAATATCTAGATGTCGCATTGGAGAAAGGATGGATCCTTCCGAGCGAATCGACTATAGGAGCACCGATCTTGTTTATACCTAAGCCGAATGGTAGCATACGGCTTTATGTCGACTATCGTGCGTTAAATAAGGTCACGGTGAAAAATCGATATTTACTACCGCTTATTCCAGAGATTCTAGATAGGTTAGTCGACGCGAAAGTCTTCACAAAACTAGATCTGCGGGATGCCTATTATAGGATCCAAATCGCAAAGGAAGATCGCTGGAAGACTGCGTTTCGCACGCGATACGGCCACTTCGAGTATACGATTATACCATTTAGGCTAACTAACGCTCCAACAACATTTCAGGCATACATTAATAAGGCCTTAAGAGGACTATTAGATAATATATATATTACCTTTATAGACGATATCCTAATCTTTAGTATAGATAAGGACTCATATAATACGCACGTAAGCCTCGTACTAGAAAGACTTAAGGAATACGATCTATATACGAAGCTCTCGAAATGCGAGTTCTTCACATAGGAAGTAAGCTTCCTAGGGTTTCGCGTAGGAGCCGTAGGCGTCTCGATAGAACTTAGCAGGGTTTCTACGATCGAGGAGTGGCCTATTCCTAAATCCTTCCGGGATATTCAAGTGTTTTTAGGGTTCGCGAACTTCTATAGAGAGTTCATTTAGTAATACTCTATAGTCGCCGCCCCTATTACTAACCTACTCTAAGGGATGAAGGCTAGGAAAAAGACTAGACCATTTACTTAGACCTCGAAGGCCGACGATACGTTCCACACACTCAAAACGTGCTTTACGCAAGAGCCTATACTGGCACACTTTGACCCTAAGAGGTAAAGTAGACTAGAGGTGAACGCTTTAGGCGATACCATCGGTGGGGTCATATCCCAAGCGTACGAGTCGTAAGAGGGCCGCACGCGTTGGAAACCTATAGCCTTTTTCTCAAGAAAGCTCACTATAGCTAAGAAAAACTACGACACGAGGGATAGCGAGATACTAGCCATCGTATACGCATTTAAGGAGTAGCGCCACTATCTTAAATCGCCTACGATTAGCACGCTAGTCCTAACTAACCATAAGGCGTTGCAAAGCTTCATAACCAAAAAAGTGTTAAATCGAAGATAAATGCGCTAGGTAGAAATACTAGCTATATATAACTTTCGTATTAAGTGGTGTAAGAGAAAGGATAACCTAGCGAATAGGCTTTCTAGACGTCCAGATCATATAGAGAAGGATAAGACTCCTCCCGAAAACACTTTGCGTAAGGTCTTGTAATTACGCATACCTATCGTAGAT